TCACCATGCCTGGCAGCAAATTGATTTTTACCTTCAAGGAAATTGTAATCTAGTACAGAAGCTATATGAATAAATAGATACTATTGTAATATCCTAAGTGCTGTGTAAAGAGAATCTCTGGAAGCACAGAAAAAAAATGCAGCTGATCACGGGGGCTGTATATGAGAGGGGATGATTCAGAAAACTTTTCTTACAAGAGTCTGCACTAAGTCCCAAAAGACAGGGGATTGTCTGAATGCAGAATGGCTAGATAACCGCTTCTAGGGAGAGCAAGCTGCTGTTGTGGGGGTCAGGAGGTACGGGAGAGGTGGTGAGTTTGGAGGGCTGGAAAGAATTCGTGCTAGAGAGTTGGGGATGGCTGGGGCTTTGGGACAGGGTGGGGAGAGCAGAGGTGTGAGATGGGCTGAGGAAGTGAGCAGCACAGAGATCAGAAGTGTTCTTTTGGTTTTTTTTTTTTAACTTTGTTTTATCTTTTTATCGGTACCGGGGATCGAACTCCCGACTGCCTGCTTGCAAGGCAGGTGCTTATGCCGCTGAGCTAAATCCCCAGGGCCCAGAAGTGTTCTTTAATGTTATGCTAAGGGTGTGATACTTAAATGCTGCAGACCAGGGAGGCATGCAGGGACAAAGGCAAGCAACCAGACGCAGGTTCAGCAGCAGCTTGGAGGCTGCAGGGAGCGAGGCTGTGGTAGGCTAGTGACCCGTCCAGGTAAGGACTGCTGAGCCCTGTGGCCAGGCAGGGATGGGAAACAATGGCCCTGTCAGGAAAAGACTGGGACAAGAGTGTCCAAAGTTAGGAGCCCCAGAGGCACAGCACAGAAGCCAGGGGTTCACGGGAGTGATCATTAGTTCTAATTCTGTTATAACATCAAGTGTAATAACTACTAAACAGCACACATCATAACAGTCCAAGAAGTTAAGGGCATTTTTGCTGGATCATTCTTTTTTGAATACCTGAGAAGTAGTAGAAGTGATGTTCTTTCCCCCAAGAGATGGAAGGAAGGGAAAGAAGAAAGGAGAGTGAAAAAAAGATTTGAGATGTGGTATGTGTGTACACCAGCTCCCCACAATGAATGTAATCATTGTGTACTACAAACTTGTACTAATAAAAAGTAAAATTCAAAATAAGATGTGACACCCATACTGCATATCAAGCCCAGGGGCACTCTACCCCTGGGCTACACTCTTAGACCTATTTATTTAGTTAGTTAGTTTTTGAGACAAGGTTTGGCTGTGTAGTTCAGGCTGGACTTGAAGTCTCAATGTAGCCCATGCTGGCCTTAAACCCATAGTGATCTTCCTGCCTCAGCCTCCCAAATTACAGGTGTGAATTACAGGTGTGTACCACCTCGCATGGCACGTTTTTATCTTTTATTTTGAGATAGGGTCTGCTGAATTGTCTGAGCTGACCTTAGACTTGTCATCCTTCTGTTTCAACCTCCTAAGTAGCTGAGATTAAAGATATATGCCAACATACTCAGCTAAGAATATATTTATAAGTAGCCCATTTAAGTTTTAGTCCATAGTATGGTATATGCCACTTTATTTTTGGTACCAGGAATTGAACTCAGGACCTTGCTCTTGCCAGGCAGGCACTGCGCCACTTGAGCCATAACCCTAGCCCTATACCACTTTCATTTACTTTTCTAGCTTGTTTATAAGCTGTAGCAAACTCCTTCCTATTGACTGAAAGAAACTGTGTCTTAGTCACTGCGATATAGGTAGCCTTCTTCTCATGGTGTGGGACCAAACAGGAATCCCACAATCCCATCATTCATAAATTACCTTTTAGCATCTCTCAGCCATTCTCTATCTGGTGCCCTGAGAGTGAGAGGCCTTAGATGGTCCCCACAAATCACCATCTTTTCTCTTGTCAGGTTGTTTTATTTCCTTTTTTTTTTTTTTTTTTTTTTTTGCAATACCAAGGGGTCTTCACACTGACCTACGTTTCTAGCCTTTTTTTTTTTAGTCACAGTCTTGCCAAGTCACAAAGACAGGCTGAATTTGAACTTGGGATCCTCCTGGCTCAGCCTCCCAGAATGCTGAGAGTACAGACCTGCACCATCATGCTCAGTGCACATCATTTTAAAAATGTATGTCATTTTAAAAATGGTCCCAGAATATTCCATCATATAGTTACACATAATTTGCCGATAGGTAGCATGAGATAAGCAGTTTTAGGCCTACAGCTTTTATTGTATTTTGCTTAGATCCTAGAGTTGGAATTACTAAATCAAAGAGCCTGACTTTTTTGAACCATTGCCAGGTCACACTTTATTAGTAGCCCATCACTGTATACCACAGACTTAGCATCTGAAGAGTCCACCTGTTTATTAGCTCACAGTTCTGTAGATCAGAAGGCTGAACCCTGCTCAGCTGGTTGGACATTCAGTGTCTCACAGATCAGAATCAGGGCAGCACCTGGCTTCATTCTCTCCCAGAAGTCTCACTTGAGAAGAATCCATTTCTGGGCTGTTGGTTTTAAATCCAGTTCCCTGGGGTTGTAGCGCTGAGCTATTTCCTTGCTGGTTGTTACTGCTGGCTGAGGCTTTGCTCTTCACCCATGGAGGCCATTCAGGTCCCACTATATATGGGATAGCCCTGGGGAATCTCATGGTGAATCCCTCCACCTCCCAATTCTTGACTTCTGAACCTAGATTTAAATGGTTGATAAGATTAGGCCCCTCTCATACTCCTGAGTAAAATAAATCGAGACACACATGTTCAAACATTGCATAGTTTCTCTGGTGTGAGAAACCGAAAGTATAAATAAGGACTAAAATCTATAATATTGTGAAGTAGAAAGATGTTCATATGGGAAGGGGAGCTAGGGAGGGGGAAAGAAAAGGAAAAAGAGAATAGAAGGGAATAATGAAAACAAAGCTTTTGTAAGTAAAGAGGGGAGGAGGGGTTGAAGCAGGGGAGGGAAATGGGAAGAAAAGAAGCAGGATATATCATGTGCAGGCACAGACTCCCTATGATAATTATGATCGTTGTGTACATCTTAAATATAGCAGTAAAATCAATTTTTAAAGAAGACTAGATCTCTTCCCTTTCCCCTGAGAACTTCTCATCTTCCCAATAGGAAGTCTCTACCATGGAACAGTTAACTCCCTGTTCTCTGCTCCCCTACCTAGCCTCTGAGCTTCAATTCTACTTTCTGTTTCTTTGAAATTGCCTGTTTTAGTTAGGTGGAGGCGCACAGTATGTCTTTTTTTTTGTTGTTGGTGTGTTTCACTTTGCATACTGTGTTAAGGTTCATTTGTGTCAGAGCACTTGTGGAATTTCTTTTAAAAGCTAGATGAAATTCCATTGTATGTCTGTACCACATTTTGTTTATCCTCCCTCAATCAATACACAGTTGGGATGTTTCAGGTTTCTCTATCTTAAGCCAGTTGATTTGGGATCTTAATTATATCAGTGAGATCTCTTCACAGCAATACCTAGATCCATCTTTATTAGAGTTGAATGGCAGGGAAAGGTATGTATATACCGAAGGCCTGGAATCTTGGGCCCCATTTTAAGATTCTGCTTACCATCTGGCATCTAGAGATTAGAGAAACCTTCCTGCCTTCCTTCCTTAGTTTGCAGTACTGGGCATTGAACTCAAGGCCTTTGCGCTGAGCTAGAATCCTAGCCCTTTTTAAAAAATTTTTGAGAGAAGTTTCACTAAGTTACTCAGGCTGGGCTCGAGCTTGGAATCCTTTACTTCAGCTGCCAGGGTGCTGGGATTAGAGGCCCAGCTACCATGCCCACCCCCATCTTGCCCTCCTTCACAACATTAATCTATAAATTGCACAGTAAAATTCTGGAAATGGCATCTCACTTCACAGCCTGCCTTTCCAGCTGGGCTTTTCTCTGCTCGTGACTCTCGTTGCATGAAGGATGCATATTAATCACTTTTCAGCCTCCTGTGAGCACACTCCTGCTTGTTGTCCTCAGCACTACCTTTGACATGTTTCTTGAGCGGGGAGTGGACAAGTATGAAAAACCCATTAGTAAGGCCAGTGAGGGCGAAGCAGAGGATTTCTGTTTACTGTGCATGATTGTGATTGTGGCAGCACATAAAAAATGAGTTCTGTCTGTGCTGTACTGGAAAGAATTTTAGCACTGAGTAACCAGACAGTGGCACAGACTGTTTCATGGTATAGCCATAAGAGTGACACAGCATGTGGACTTGTCCAAATAAGAGAATTTAGGGCTGTAACTGCCAGAATTAAAATAAGCCTCTTGCTTCAGCTTGAATACAAATTCACTGAACCCAGTACAGTCTTTTTGGACTTTTGTTGGTTTGTTTTTGAGGCAGAGTCTCACTGTGTAGTTCAGGCTGGCTTTGAATTCACTATGTAGCCTAGACTGGCCTTGAACTCAGGGCAATCCTCCTGCCTCAGCCTCCCAAGTGCTGGGATTTCAGGTGTGTGCCATCATGCCTGGGCAGTGCAGTCTTTTGGGAATTAGACATTGGATCCTGAAATGATGGTGTTCACCAGGAATTTAGAGACCTGAGAAGAGATCTAGATAGAGATTTCATATTGCACATGTAGAGCATGCAAAAGTATAGTATAACCTTAGATGTAGCAAATAATACCAGATGCTGAATGGCTTAAAGAGTGTCCATGCCTTTTGGGGTGAGTGTGGTGGGGGGGGGGCAGTCAGTGGCTCCTTTCCCCTTGGAGAAAGCTCTTTGTGCACAGTGGTTGTTGGTTGCTCTGAGCTGCTCAGAGTCCCTGAGGGCTCTGTAACTTTGCTCAGTTTATAGTGTGCCAGCTTTGTCGCGTGGTCCTTGTGTGGGGTAGCAGATGTAACTGCTCTGTTGTCCGGATGTGAGATTTGGGTGGGAACTAGAGAGGTGTGAAAGTATTCACTGTAAGGAACTACAACATCTATGCTTGCCAGCTGGGGACTCCTTAGATGAGGGGCAACGAAGAGCAAGAGGACCTGTGTTCTCTGGGCCCTGGCTGGGCTTGCCGGCAGTGCTGAATCTGTGCTCTCTCTCACAGGCTACTGCCATGTCTGTGGACTGTCTGGGGCAGCATGCAGTGCTTTCTGGGTAAGTGAGCTTTCACAGTTTGTCTGCTGTCATTTCTGGGGAACAAACTGCAAATCAAGTTTCTGGAAATTGGAAAATATCCTTATGTTTAACAGATACAATGATAGGGTTTAGATCTCAATCACATCACAGTGACTGCAAAGGCAATTGTAAGTGATTTTTTGTGGTTTTTGTCTCTGCCCTAACAGGTAAGCAGTACCATTCCTTTGACATTTTAGCAACTGGTAGTTTGGTCTTGAAATTGCAATTTTCTGTTTTCTGTGCAGACTCTGTAAAGAAGCAATCTGGTGTGGTTAAGCAAGTAGTTACTAGGATTAAGGGGATGTGGGTTCTAGTTTGGCAGTTTCACTAAATTATGAGCTAAATTATGAATCATTTCACCAAAAAATGATTATTCAGTTGACCTTAAGTAGACTTTGGTTCTTTCACAAAAAAATTTGATTTCAGCTGGCCGTGGTAGTACATGCCTGTAATCTCAGTGCTCACGAGGCTGAAGCAGGATATTTGCTTGTGAGTTTGAGGTCAACCTGTGTAACATAGAGAGTTCAAGGTCAGCCTGAACTACCTAGTGAAACCCTGGCTCAAAAAAAAATATTAGATTTTTATCCAGGAGGATTTGAACTGTATAGCTTTCTATAGTGCTTTTGAACTAAAAAATTATGTTATTCTGGCAATTAAGGGCTATCTCTACCTTTGCTAAGATACTATTGTTGTACCAGAATAAAATTCAATGAGCAGGACCATTCGTCCCTTTCGTAGTGCTTTGGATTTTCATTTGTTTAGGAACCCATTTGCAAATCAGTGAGAGCATTTTTTGTATTAGTTGTATTACTTTTAAATTGTATTTTAATTTACTTTTTAGGGGAAGTGTCAAGATAGGGTCTTGCTATGTAGTTCACGCTGGCCTTGAACTCACTGTGGAGCCCAGGCTAGCCTCACACTTGCAGCAATCCTCTTGCCTCAGCTTTCCAAATGCTGGGATTACAGGTGTGAGTCACTGTGCCCAGCCTTAGCAATTTTTAAAAGTCAAGGAAATACCTGTACATAGTTTAAAAGTTGAGTAGCATTCCAGGCTTATGATGTAAAGCAGCAAGTCTCCACCTCACTGTTTGTCTTAGTTACTTTACTCATTGCTGAAACAAAATACTCAACACCTACAGTTAGAGGAAGAAAAGGTTATTTCAGCTCTTGATTTGTAGAGGTTTCAGTCCATAATCAGCTGGCTTCAAGACAGGGTGGCATGGCAGAGGGGCATCACAGAGGAGGAAAAACAGTTCATGGTGTGGAAGGTGGGAGGCAGGAGGCAGCAAAAGCAGCAAGAAGCAAGCAAGGATAGCAGCCTTCTTTCTGTCCCTTATATTCTATCGAAGCTATATACCCTTTTATCCACACCCAGATCAGTACCAAACCAATCAGTGGACTAATTTAATAATCACACATTTTTAATCCTAGCATCACATACTTTAGATCCATCCAGCTCTGCAAAATATTTGCTATAACCCCCATGAAGCTTTAGGGGGACATCTAGACACAAGCCGTATCACCCCACCTCTGATTCCAGAAGCAATAACTTAATAAGCTTTAATCGTCTCCATTTTTCCAAATGGTATGCATATTACTGTCACTGAGACAAAATACCTGACACTCACAATTTAAGAGGAGAGATTTACTTTGGCTCATGGTTTCAGTGGGTGCAGTCCGTGGTTACCAGTTCCAGTACAGAAGCTGTATGGTAAAGGGCCTGGCAGAGGAGGACTGTTCAACCCATGACAGCCAGAAAGCAGAAAGAAGAGAAGGGGCTGAGGAAAAGAATACACCTTTCCAGATCATGTCCCCAGTGACCTACTTGCAACCAGATTCTACCTCCTGACAGCACATTCACTGATAAACTCATCAGTGAGTGGACTCACTGATGAATATAGCTCCCCCATGATTCATCCCCTCTAGAAACCCCACTTCTGAATATATGAAATCTAATATATTTTATCTCTGTCTTTTGATTGCCTACATTTTCCCAAATGGTATGTATATACCATTCTATTTGAACTCAGGCATGGTAAATTGACTTCACACAACTGAAAATGAGGGTCTGGTACTTTTTTGGTGCTCCATAGGTCCTTACATATCTTCCTGATCTTTTCCCTCTTTCCAGTTAATTATAGATTATTGGATTGAATTATTGGATTGAATCTGTATTTGAGGGTCCTTTTTCTCAGGATTACTTTTTTTAACTAATTAATTAATTTATTGTGCTGGGGATCATACTCACAGCCTCGTTCTTGCCAGGCAGGCACTTATACCACTGAGTTAAATCCACAGCTCTTAGGGTTATTATAGAGAGGTCCTATACCATTCTGATTTTAGGCTCTTCATGACGTGTTTTCTTTTTGGAAGTATTAGCATACTATTTTTTACCTCTAGAGTTTGTGAGATTTTTTACCATGATTGCTTTGGTCTGTGTCTGTGCACTTGAAGGCCCCCCTTTTGCATTATTGTTTCACCTAAACAAGTAGAGGCATAATATATACTGGGCAGCAGATAGCTGTATTAATGACCAAAAAATGCTCTTAGTGCCCTGGAGTGACTGGGGCCCAAATGTTAAGATTTCCCAGCACTCACTGATGTGGAAAATACCATCCTTACTATTTTAGGAGAAATGGAATTATGTGACTGGAAACCATGAAGTGCCCTGTTCTGGTGTGTTCTTAGATATACAGCCATATTATTTTTCAACACGAGTGTCGTTTCATTTTCTAATATTGAATTTTAGAGTATGTGTAATAAAATGTATAGACTACACTAACCTGATATGAATAGTTAAATAAAATTACAAATATAAACCTTATGTAGTCATCATTCAGATTAAGATACAGAATTTTTTTGGTACCTTAGAAAGCCCCTCCAATCTAGATGGCTGTGTCTTTTTGTTGGGAAAAATTTTCCAGCACTCGCTTTTGCCCTATTTAAACAGTGTTAGATTTCCTATCTGGATTCTCTTTTGGCTTTATCATCCTTTTGGTTTAAAAAAATTTTAATTAATTATTTCTCCAATACTGGGGATTGAATCTAGGAATTCTCTGAGTTACATCCCTAACCATTTTATTTTTTATTTTGAAGCAGGGTCTCAGTAAGTTGTCCAGGCTGCTCTTAAACTTGCTTTGTTGTTGTGGTGGTGGTGGTGGTACTAGGAATTGAACTCAGGACCTTGTGCTTGTCAGGCACACACTGTGCTGCTGAGCTATATCACTGGCTGTTAAACTTGTGATTCTACTACCTCAGCCTCCTGAATACCTAGAATTATAGGCATGTACCGCTGTAGCCCTGGAGGCTTCAACTTTAATTTCCAACCCTCCTCTCAGGTTTTCTGAGATTGCAGCTGTTAATTTTCAGAAAGTTTCCAGATATTTAAAAACTTCAACTATCTTAATATGCTCTGTTCTTTACCTTGTCTTTTCTCTTAACTCTTAGCTTGGAATACTGATTCTAAGCTCTTTTTTTTCCTCTGCGTTATCCCCATTTCATTTGAGATCCTTTTTCTCTCTTCCTTATGTAGATCCCTATCTTTCAGGTTTCCTCCAGGGTCTGAGATCATGGCTTTCAGTGACTAGGGAACCTCTGTAAACACTGTGGGCAGGTGGTGGGTGGGTGGGTGGTGGGATTGCTACATTGAGAGGAGGTGGGAAGCAGGCCTCTTCCCAAGTCCAAAGATCATTATCTCAGGACCTTATCCTTGTTTTTTTGCTTTCTTTTGCTTTCTTCTTCTCTTGAGCTGGAGGAGTGTCTGTCTGAAGAACAAAGGCAGCATTGTGTGTGCTCAGTAGGAAAAGAGGCTGAGGGCTCAGCACTCTCTTAGAAGGGCCCCATGCACCTGTGCTCCACCTGGGTGAAGAGAGGTGGCCCCTGGTGGTGTGGGAGGCACTCAAACCACTCTTAGTAGCTGCTCCTCCAGACCTGTTCTGTTCTGTTCTTATCCTCCAGCTCTACCTCTTAATTCATGCTGGGCCCTGCAGTGTGAATCAGCTTTCCTCTCAGTCTCTTCCCACCTTCAGCACTCAGGCTTCATTTAGCTTTCTCTCCTCTTGGTCAATTACAATTTGTCCATCTGCTTAGCTTTTTTTTCTTTTTCCCTTTTTTTTTTTTTTTTTTTTTTTTTTTGGTACCAGGAATCGAATTTAGCACTTTGCACTTGTCAGGCAGGTGTTTATGCTGCTGAGCTGTATCTCAGTCTCTGCATCTGGTTTTCATTTCCTTTTTCTTCCGTTTTGCAGTACAGAGGATCTAACCCAGCACCTCGCATGTGTTAGGCAAGTGCTCTACCACTGAGCTACATCCCTACCCTTTCTCAGTTTTTTGCCTTTGTGGGCTTGCCTTCCTTCCTTCCTTCCGGCCTGCCTTTTTCCCCCTCTCTTTTAGCCTCCCTCCCTTCCTCCTTTCTCTCTCTTCCTTCTCTCTCTCTTTTCAACTCTTACTTTAGTGGGATTTCAAGGGGAATAAAGACAAGTACATATGTTCTTTCAGCTATGTTCATCCTGAAGTGCTTGCTCTGTGCCAGCCTACATTTGCTGTGTGGTATCTCTGAACCAGTGATACACCCCGTATCCTTACTTGTAGCTGTTTCTCTTTTTAATGGAAAGATGCTGGGCTGCCCACTACAGGAGCAGGTGATCTTTTGGAGGTGGTCAAAGTTCTAGATCTTTGTTTAGCGGTAACTTTCTTAGAAGTTGCAGTTTTGTGAAATTGCATATTCCCTGTGTTATCCTTCTCTCTTAACTATCCCTTTTTAGAGTGTCTGCTGCCATCAGAGTTTCACATGCTATTTCCTAGCTTTTCTGGACAAGGACCCTTAATCTTGTTTTGAGTCTAGCTGTCCACACTGATATCCAGGGGTTCTGCATGTTCTGTAATGAAGAATCAATAGTAGATGGCCGCAGAGATGTTGATTCATACATCAAGGATGCTTTTTTATAATTTAAAATAACAGGAAAATAGGTAAATAACAGGAACTCTTTATTTTCAGATTGTGTGTGTGGTATTGAACCCAGGGTCACACTGAGCTACATTCCCAGGCCATTTTGAATTTTTTATTTTGAGACATGGTTTCCATAAGTCACTAAGTTGCTTAGACTAGGCTCAGACTTGCAGTCCTCCTGCCTCAGCCTCCCACATGTTGGGATTAACAGCATGCACCACAGTGCCTGGCTCAGATTCTTTATATTGGTTGGCCCCTTGAACATTATTGGCACTTATGATGTTTAATTATTATTCCTTTCTCCTGGGATATTATTTATCTTCCTGATGGATGAAATATATGGTTTCCAGGAAATAGACTTTGATGGGAACTGGAGATTTTCTGCAGGATTTTGGCTTAGTGATAAATAATGTGTTTAACACACATTTCGTGAATGTAGAGCACTGTCCTACTGTGTGGGCGATAAATTACTTAAGACATGGTGCCAGTCATTTGAATTGGACAGGAGTCTTAGCATTCATTCATAGTCCTGCTATAGAAGTAAATGCAACAGTGGAAGTGTGAACCAGGCCAAGGGCATAGTGTGGAATCGATCCTAGCTGAGGCGTCAGGAAGGGCTGGGAGAGGGAAAGTAGACACTCACAATGGATGTGGCAGGGAGGGCCAGCTCTGGGGGGAGACTCTCACAGGGATCATGTTCCTTTTTGTTTATCCACCAACATGAGTTACCCTGTGACTCGCCTGCCTTTCAAAGTCGGTGAGCTTTGTGTACATCTGGGCTGTCTTTGAGCACTGTTTATAACCGTATGGAATTCTAAGTGCGCTTTCTATCTTCATGCTGATGCTGTTGTATTGCTGTGTTGCCATAGTGTCAGTGTTGTTTTCCCAGCCGCAGATTCCTGTACATCGTCAATCTCGATGCCCCTTTCGAAGGTCACCGGAAAATCTCTCGCCAGAGCAAATGGGACATTGGAGCTGTGCAGTGGAATCCTCATGACAGCTTCGCACACTATTTTGCAGCTTCGGTGAGTTCATTTAAGGAGTGTCATCTTTTAAACGTGTCATCCAGGGCTGGCAGGTCTATATCCTGTGTAGGGAAGAGAATATAATCCTCTTTCCTCAGTCAGGGAAGAGGCTTGGATGATTCTGTGAGAAAGACAGAGGCAAGTTGCAGATTTATGTATCTGTGTGTGCATGAATGTGTGTTTGCTGGTTCCATCTGTGTCAGGCCTTGCAATTCTAGGGACTGAATCTAGATTGTGAAAGGGAAGCAGGTAGATGCCTTAATTTCTGTGTGTGGTAAGAATTGGTTTTCTGTAGCAATGGTGTAACTAGCAGTGCCCAAATGGCAGATGACCCTAAAAGACATTCTTTTTTGAGGGGGGAAGTAAAGGGAATTACACAAGGAGTAGTTTCTTACGGTGATGTGAAACAGTATGAAAAGATACAAAGAAAGCTTAGTAATTATAATCTACTTTCATAAAAGCATGTTTACAAATATCAAATGTTCTACCTGCATTTTGAACATTGTAACAAATATAAAGCACAAAACATCCAATATGAACACTGATCTTCCATGCCTAATTTTGATGTAGAAATTGACTATTTTAAATATTAAAGAAAGGAACTTTTTAAAAGTTTTATTAATGCTTTCATTGTATATACTATTATTCCTTACCAAAAACCTTCAGTGAAAATTTAAAAACTAGTCTTAAAAGTAGTTATTTCTGGGGCTGGTTGTTTAAGCGGCACAAGCACCTGCCTGGCAAGTGCAAGGTCCTGAGTTCAATTCCCTGTACTGCCCCCCCAAAAAACCTAAACTAATATAAAAGATATTTTAGTTCAAGTTGTTTCTTAGTACAAGTAAGATGCCATGTCAAGCAATTTTTCAATAAAATTCATAAAAGTGATAAAGCTTGTGTTTGTCCTGAGGAGGATGACAGGGTGCTGTTTTGGGCTTCATCAGTTCTAGAAGGAGCAGAGGACTCCTATAACCTGCTCAGAGAGAGGGATTTTTACTTGATCAGGATTTGTTAGATCAGTTACCCTCAAAATTGAAGTGTAAATATTTATAAGTGATTTCCCTCCCTCCCCCAGGGAAAACATGCATAAGTTTTATTTGCTCTTCTGAGAAATTTGTGATCCCAAAAGATTCTGGGCCAGGTCATCTCAGGCATCTTTCTCCAGATTCTGTGGTGGTGTTCTTTTCTTCTAGAAGAGCTAGAGAGCTAAGGCTCCTGCTCTTTCCACTGAGCTGGAAGGGGAGTGTTTAAAAGAAACTTCTTGCTAGCCCAGGCTGTGATATTGTTGGTGGGATGCCGTCTGTGGAAGGTGAGCACCGGGGTGAAAGGAGGCCGGGCTGCGTTGTCAGCTTGAGAAGGAACAAAGAGCTGCTCTTCCAATCATTTCCACACCAGACTCTGGCCTTACCCACAGATGTCCAAGCTAGAGTAGGTTTTCAGGACTGCTCGGAAAGAGGAGCACAACAGTGTTGTGCTTTTCCATTCTCAGCCTCTTTCCTGAGTGTGGAGGATGGTATTTTTGTTGGCTTGTTGTTCTGGAACTTTCAACAACTCTCTTGCCCTTTGCCTCTGCTCATTTAGTCGAGTTTTTCAGTGCTGGTATTATTTGACATTAGTCTTGGAGCCTTAGCTTGGTCTGGTGTGTCCTGTGAATTGAAGGATATTTAGCCCCAGGTCCCTACCTACTAGATCTCTGTTGTATCTCCTTCTATTATGACAACCAGAATATCTCTAGACATTGTCACTTGTCCTCTGGGAAGCAAAATGGTCCCTGATTGGGAACTACTTGTTCCAAATGGTTTAACACTGGAGTGCTCAGTAGTGGTAAGAAAGACCACCTTTTTTTTTTTTTTTTAAACAATTATAGTGGTCCGTGTTTTTCTGTGTGGAATATATTATAGTATCCCTAGTGGATGCAACAAATGGCAGATGTCGTGAACCCTATATATACCAGGGGTGGGGTTTTTTTTTGGTATATAAGTACATATGATAAAGTTCAGATAAATTAGGCACAGTAGGAGACCAATAACAGTCAGATACAGTGGCCCACACCTCTGATCTCAGCTGTTTGGGAAACAACGGCAAGAAGATCACAAGTTTGAACCCAGCCTGGCCAACTTAGTAAGGCTGGCTCTCAAAATAAAAAAATAAAAAGATCTGAGGATGTAGCTCAGTGGTACAGCACCTGCAGGTTAAATCTCTAGTGCTGCTATAGATAGGTAGGTAGGTAGGTAGATAGATAGAAAATAGAGATATCAACGGTAACTTGTAGATCTTAACAACCTTAACGTACAATTTTTTTCTTTAAGTCATGAAATCTTACCCCTTTTACAACATTTTTCTTAAATTTAAAGAGAAAAAATTGGCATACCTGAATTGCCAGCATTACTCTTTTACTTTGGAGACTTTATTGAGTAAACTAAGGGTCACCTGAGCATAAGCACTGTGATACCACAGTAGTCAGTGTCTTAACTGTGTGTCACTAACATGGATGTGGCATGTGCACTGTGCATATGCTGGATAAACAGGTGCTTCACATTCTAGGATCATGCTTGTCAGAACAATGCACAATGCAGAAACCTGTAAGTTACTTGTTTCTAAAATTCTCCATTTAATATTTTTGGACCACAAATGCCTATGGAAAACAAAAACATAGAAATGAAACTAAGGCTAATGAGAAATTACTATGATCATTTTAAAGTGAATAATTCAATATCCTTTACTAGATAATTCAGCGCCCCTTACTGCATAGTATCATGTAACTATAGGTGCTGTTTAGTTCTAGAGTATTTCTAACACTCCAGAGGAAAACCCCTACCCATTTAACCCCTTTACCTCCTAGAGACCATCAGCCTGCTTTGTGTCTCCTTGTATTTATTCTGAACATTTTGTATAAATGGATTTGTGTCATAATAGGTGACCTTTTGTGTCTGGCCCTTTACATTTAGCTTAATGTTTTGGAGTTAATTTTCACTGTGGCAGGTATCAGACAGAACTTTATTCCTTTTTATAGTAGTATATTCTATCCATCAGTGGACATTTTAGCTGGCCGTTATAATAGTGCTGATCTGGACGTGTATGTGGTTATGCTTGTTTTCACTTCCGAATGGACACATTCAGAAATGGGATTATAGGGCCACAAGGTTTACTGGGGATTGAACCTACGGGCTGCTGTGTGCTAGGCAAGTATTCTACCACTGAGTTACGTCCTTGGTCCTTTAAAAAAATGTTTTTTAAATATTTGAGAAATCTTGCTGAGTTGCCCCAGCTGAGGTTGAACTTTTGCTCTCCCTGCATCAGCCTCGCAACTAGCTGGGATTACAAGCATGTAACGCTCTGCACAGCTCTGTTTGAACTTTTGAGGGAACTACCAAACTGTTTCCATAGTGGCTAACTCGTTTTATATTCCCGTCAGCAGTGTACAAGAGTTCCAGTTTTTCCATATTTTCATCAACATTTGTCATTGTGTTTTAAATTTAAGTCATAGCCATGCCTAGTGGGGGTGAAGTGGCATTTTTATCTTGGGTTGTACTTACGTATCTGTAACTGGTTCAAAATTCTGAGAGTCCTCCTGCCTCAGCCTCCCAAATGCTGGGATTATAGGTGTGTACCACCATGCCTGGTAGTGGTTTTCTTTTCTTTTTTTTGTGGGGTTGGGGCAAGTATTGGGTATCGAACTCATGACCTTACACTTACCAGGCAGGCGCTTAATGCCACTGAGCTAAACCCCAGCCCTGTGTTTTTCTTGTTCTTGATTGGAAGGTAGCCTTTTTCAGGAGTAACAGTTTTAGAGTTACATAAACCTGAGGTCAAGTTCTAGGTTGAACACTGTTTTAAGGAAGCCTTTCAATTTGCCAAGGCTTGATTGGCTCATGTATAATGTGGGTGATAGTACCCACTGTTCAGGGTAGTGGAAAAGATCAAGGTCATATTTGTTAAGGTGTCTAGTAGTACATAGCCAAGAACTAGGAGACCCTCTGTAAATGATAGGAAATGTTGTTATAAAACAAGGGGATTTTCAGCTGGGCATGGTGGTGCATGCTGTAAACCCAGCACTCAGGAGTCTGAGGCAGGAGAATCACTGCAAGTTTGAGACCATCCTGGGCTACAAAATGAGCTCAAGGCCACTGTCCTGAATGGTGAGACCCTGTCTCAAAAAAACAAAGAAAAGCTGGGGGAACTTTAATTTTCATTTTGTTTCATTGGAATCCATTTTTTTCCTTTCTTGAATCATAACCTTTTCATAAGAACATTACCTATTTTAGATCTGGAAACTGACATCTCAGGACAAAAGTCTCCAAAGTTTATACAGATGTCTGTCTCAGCTAAAATGAAAATCAGTTTATTATATATTCGGCTTAAAAATTGTTAAATAGTCTGCCATTGTTCTTAGTCTATTACTAACCTTTATGCGCTTCAAGCCATGCATGGTAGAACATTTCTGTAAGCTCAGCTTCTCAGGAGGCTGAGGCAAGAGGCTCACAAATTAGAAGCCAGCCTAAGCAATTTAAAGAGACATTGTCTCAAAATACAGAATGATTTTAAAAGGAGCTGAGCACATAGCTGAGTGATGAACTTTTTCCTTACTAAGCTTAAGACCCTGGATTCAATCCCTGGTAATGCAAAAAAAAAAAAAAAAAAAGAGCCGTCTTTCCATGTTGACATTCTTCTATTTTTTTGGTACTGGGGATTGCACTCACTACCTTGTGCCTGCCAGGCAGGTGCTTATGCTACTAAACTAAATCCCCAGGGCTCATATTGACCATTCTTCACCCAGTGTGCTGAGCTGAGGGTAGCTCAAGCTAATGTTAACTATCCTGATTTTTAGTGGCTTTTTCAAATTCAACCTGTAGGATCTCTGCCATGCAAATTAGCTTCTACATGACTTCCTTCCCTCCCTGTTAGGCAGATTGGAGTGAGAATGTATTCCCTTGTGCATGTTATGCTACCGCTGCCTTCTCTCCCTTGTTTCTTCTCAGAGTAACCAGCGAGTGGATCTTTATAAGTGGAAGGATGGCACTGGGGAAGTCAGCACAACGCTGCAGGGCCATACTCGGGTCATCAGGTAGGTGCCAGCCCTCCACAGCTCTTTGGCTTGTCTTGCTTTGTCACAGTCCCTTGGGGAGTGAAACAGAGATGTTAACGTGGCTTGACCTTCTGTGCTGCACTGGCCCAGTAGCCAACAGTTATTAGTGTCCCATAAGGTGATGGCAGTGAACCCAGCAGAGAACCACCAGTATTTAGGAAGCATCATCCATGCACTGCTGACTCTCATTCCTGATGTCAGAGGCAGCTCTGTCCAGAGTAAAGGATTAGGGCTGACCTTTGCCACAAGAGGGGGAGGGCATTATATAATAGAAGCCCTGGTTTGGTCCCCAGCGGCCAGCCATGCACAGACTCCTCAATGAGCAGCAGCAGCTCTTGGCTTTTTGTCTGCAGCTGTGGGTACCACACAGGGTCCAGCATCTCAATCTGTGCCCCAAATGCAGTTGCCCCCTACTCAGGCCTGCCAAAGTGTTACTGTTTCTGGTCAGGAGACACTTTCTGGAGAGTAGCAACAGAAGCGCAGGACAGGCACTGATGACCTGGGGATGGTGGAAGAGGCTAGCTGTGTGCAGAGCATCCTGGGCAGTGGCTGCCTTTCTGGGAGTGCAAGTGTGAGGGCCTTGGCCCCTCTGCCAAGTAGTGTGGCCATGGGGAGGTTGTCATGATCGGCTTACCCAAGGCAGCTGTGTTTGAATCTGATTTCAAAAAGATAAAATTACTTTATGTGTTCTTCCTTTGTTTCGTTGGACAGGCTCAGTGTGTTTAAGTTGCAATATTCCATTTTTTTTGTGGGGAGTGGGTGGTAGCATTGGCTGGCAGCTATAAGGAGGACCTGAAATCTTCCTTCTGAGCTTGGTTGTTCATTTTCAGAGAACTTCAGGGATGTCCAGGCTAAAACAAGTCAAACCCACTGACAATGATTGTTTTGATATTTGAAACCAACAGAGCTTTGAAACCAGAAACTGAAGTTTTTGTTTTGTCTTGTTTGTCCTGTTTTTTCCTGTGTCCCAGTGACTTGGACTGGGCAGTGTTCGAGCCAGATCTCCTGGTCACCAGCTCTGTGGACACCTACATCTACATTTGGGATATCAAGTAAGAACAGTGAGAAGCGTAGCCACTTGGCTGTGGGACAATGTGAGGCCTTGGTTTTAGACATCGAGTGTCTTGAATCTGGTTTCTCCACATATAAACCAAGACAGGATTTGAGTGCCACACACTGCCAGGAGAGGAGAGGAGTGCTCTGAGGGGCTGGGGGAAGATAGGCAGATCTGGAGCCTGCAGTGAGGGACCCTCCTGTGAAAGATGGAATTCACTTCCTGCAGAGCACTGGGTGCTGGAGCACAGGTCATTGTCCCACTAAGGGCTGAGACGCAGGGTGCTACGCCATCATCACTGGCCAGGGCCGAGCTCAGGGTCTGAATTGCCTGGCACTTCAGCTATCAGAGTTCTGCAGAGCAGACCTCAGCAGCCGGAAATCCCTTGGCAAAGCAGCCCGGGGCCTGGCATTCGGAAGCTAGCTGGGGTTCACTGAAGTGGTGAGTGACTGAGGGGGATTGGGATGGGGGCAGACATATCTGCCTCTGTGGGAAGTGCTGAGAGATCTACTCACCTCTGGGTCTTTGCGAGGCTGCTGTGCCCATCTCTCAAAGGAAGTCATGGCCTCTCACAGAGTCACCCTCGTGGAGGAAAGAGGAAGGGAGTTCCCAGCCCAGCCTGCACTTCCTCAGAGCAGCGCTACCTGTGGTGTGTGGATGCTGTCTTCCCCTCAGCCAGGTTCTCTGCTCGCCTCATGGCCATGACCTGAGGCCTTTTTCCTGGAAGGTGAGGACTGCAGAAAGAAGCAAGATAGCTGCTGGGGTGGAGCAGACCAGAGCTCCTGGGAGGCACTCGTGTGCGGCTGACTGGACCTGGCGCTACAGATAGCAGCACTTTAGTGCATAGCTCTAAAGGCAGCTCCCAGGGTCGAAGTTCAGGATCCAGGGGACTTGAAAAGGGAAACCGTTTTGTTTTGTTTTGAGACATGATCTTGCTCTGTAGTTTAGAGTGAGCTTGAATTTACTATGTAGCCAAGCTGGCCTTGAACTCACAATAATCTTCCTACTTCAGTCTCCTGAGTGGTGGGGTGACAGGCACGTACCACCTATCCTGGTTCATCTTAGCCATTTTTAAGTAGATATTCAGCAGTGTTTAGTAGTTATTGTGCAGTAGGTCTCCAGAACTTCTTCATGTTGTATTTTTTGTTGTTGTGTTTTTTTGGGTACTGGGGATCGAACTCATGACTGTGTGCTTGCAAGGCAGGCGCTTATGCTGCTGAGCTAGATCGCCAGCCCCAACTTCTTCATCTTCTAAAACTAAAAACTTTGGTACTCATTAGACAGCTACTCCCCAGTCTCCCTTTTACCCAGCTCCTCACAACCATCACTCTGGCTTTTTGATTTGATGAGATTGATCACTTGTAGTACCCACATGTCAAAGACTCATGCAGTCAAAGAATCATGCAGATTTTAACTTTCTATGACTGTCTGTTTCACTTAGCATCATCTCAGGGTTCATCTGTGTTGTAAGTGAAAGAATGTTGTTCCTATGCGGTAGGAAGGGATTCCCTTCTTTTTTAAGAATAACATTCCATTGTGGGGACTCACTACATTTTATTTATCCATTCATTGTTTGCTTCTACCTCTTGGATACTGGAACAGCCAAAGTGATTTTTAAATCCGCCTTTGAGGTGCTTTTGGGAGAGTTCTTGATATTACACTGTCATGCCTGTCACCTAGTTGCCACCAGGGGAAGTGACACAGGGAAGGGATTCTTCATGCCTTTTCTCCCCACAGTAGGGCCACCCAGGGCCATCATATAATTCACCCAGGCTGAATCATATAATGTACATTTTTGTGACTTCAGGTGTAATGATTTGAAATTCAGACTCAGCCCCAATTGAAATGACCGAGAAAATTCAAGACAGGTCTCTCTTTATATATTTCTATTTATGTTCATATGCATATATGAATTTTTTTTTGAGACAGGGTCTCACAACCTTGTGACCTTCCTGTCTCAGCCTCCCAGTACACCCCATCATGTCTAGCTTTTTAAGGCCCTCACAGCAGATTTAACTCTTGAGTTCCCACTGAGAGGGAAGTAAAGAAATGTGTGAAAAGGTGGAAAGGCACCAGGCACCAGCTTATGAAGTGGGCATTTGACTTTTGGTTTTTATATTCCAGAGACACAAGGAAACCTACTGTTGCGCTGTCTGCTGTAGGTGAGTGCATGCAACTTGCTTGCTTCATTCCACTCTTCCCTTCCGTCCCTTCCCATCCATTCTTCCTCACACTCACACTATCCACACCCCATGTTTCACCAGGCTGGGTGCAGTTACAAGTCCCAAGTTGAAAGGGCTTGCTTTAAGCTGCCCACAAGAGCCAGAATCAGGATAGTGAATGTAGATCAGGAATTTTTTTGAGAATTCAAGGACAGGAGCTAGATCACCTTGCAAACTTGTTATGTGGAAAATGTTAAGTGCGTATAAAAACAGAAGAAAACAAACTGCCCTGTTCACACCAGCTTCAACAGTTGTCACCATCCACAGTTTTATCTTCTTTTTTAGCACTGCAATTGGACCTAGGGTGTTTTGTTTTGTTCTTCTAACCCAGGATTTTTACACTGACCCTTGTAGGGTTGTCGGGTGCCAGGAATCAAACTCAGGACCTTGTGCTTGCCATGCAAGCACTTGTGCTGCTGAGCTGTATGCCTGGCCCCCAGCCTTGTTTTTACTTTTTATTTTTATTTTAGTTTTTGAGATAGGGTCTGACTGAATTGCTAAGTTTCCTAGAATGGGCTTGAATCTGTGATTCTCCTGTGTCAGCCTCCCAGAGTGCTGAATCTTACTTTGTCATTACCTTCACCCACCATTCTACCCTTATCCTCATTCAGTATATATTCTTATGAAAGAAGAATCTCTAAAAAAAAAAAACCAATCAAAAAAAGAATCCCAACAATTAACATACCTAAAAATATTAACAGTTCTGTAATATCATGAAATATCTAAGCAGTATTCAGATTTTCCCAATAATTACAAGTTGTTTGAATCAGAATACGTTTTTCTCTTCTTTTTTTCCTTTTTTGAGACAGGGTTTCACTATGCACTTCAGGCTGACCTTAAACTCACTTCATAGCCCAGCCAAGCCTCGAACTCATGGTGATCCTCCTGCCTCATCCTCCTGATTTCTGGGATTACTTAGGTACACCACCATGCACAGCTGAATCAGAATACAAATAAAGTCTATACTGGCAAGTGGTTGATATATTTCTCATCTTTTCTAATTGATAGGTGTTTTCTTCTCCTTTTTGGCTCCCCCCAATCTAGATTATGTATGGAGAAATCCATCCTGAAAGTATTCTGATCTAGCTGTTTTCGTTGCTTATTGAATGTTTTCTTTAGACTTAACTGCTTTTGAAATTATCAATTGTCATTATCGAAGAATATTCCTATGACTTCCTGAGGGTAGAAGAAAGGCACAGGAGTGGCATAATTTACAGGAAGGAAACCTGATTTTCCATACTTTGAAATCCTTGATAAAAACATATGTTTTCTGTCTCTTTTTAAAGTTAGTGTATGTGATGCATAATTATCGGGTCCTGACCTAGATCCCCAATCTTCCAAACGACTGTACAGCAGAGGTTAAATAAAAAGAGACAAATTATATGAGTTTTAGGGCTCTGTGAGGGTCAGAACCCTTTAGTTGAGCTCCTGACTCCAGAGGGCTATGACAAAGCATTCTCTGGATTAGCCCACTTTTATTAGGACTAAGACAAAAGATAGAGAAACTGAAGAAAGCACAGGAAATGAGCAGGACCTTGGGGGTCACTTCAAAGACTTCCCCAAGTAGTAGGTTTAGCCAATTTAGGAGAACCATATCTCCAAGATAACATTTATGGTGGGATTGAGAGGCAGGAGTGAGATGCCTGCAGCTGCATTCTCAATATACTTAATTAGTGTTGGAGCCAGGTGTCTTCAGCTGTGGCCTTATGTTGCCCTTTGAGGTATCTCTGGCCCCACAGGCCACTATAAGCCTCAGCCAGGACCATTGATCCATAGACGTTCACTTACTATGAATCAGCTCCCATCGCCAGGCAAGGGGCCAAGGCCTAGGACAGACTCACAGATAAACATAGAAAGCCAATTAGTAAAATTTAAATCCTGCTCAGAGCTTCTGGGTACTGGTCCCCAACACATAATAGTGACATTTATTTGGGGGAAATTTTTTTTATCTTTTTTAATCTTTTTAATGCTGGGTGCATGGATGTGGCAGTCAGGGACCTCTTGTGCTTCTGTATCAAACGAGTGGTTCCATTGACCTGGTCGCTGCCTTTGGGTGCTAATGATCGGTGCCATCACTGGCTGCTGAGGATAAACACCTGAATAAACTGACAAATGGTCTGTGACTATCCTGACTTTGTGCAGCTTTCTAAGTTAGATTGGTTTTAGAGAAACCCTAAAAAGGAAGCCAGTTTTTCAGTCCACTTGTTCTGATTGCTTTCTTTTCTGTTATAGGACTTTCTAAAAAAACAGAAATAGGAGATTGTGTTCCTTTTTTTGGAGCAAGGGTGGTTACTTGGAATTGAACTTAGGACCTCACACTCCCCAGGCTGGTGCTGTGCTGTTGAGCTATATCCCTGGCCTTCACTTTCCTTTTTGTATCTCAGTGAGATTTCCTATTAGTGGCAGCGCTATCTTGGGAGAAAATAGGACAACGAGAGGCCTGTGGGCCTTCCAAAGTTGCTCCATCTAACATCCCTCAAGAGGTGTAGCCTTGGGTGCTGTCTGCTCCCCAGGGTCTGTGATCTGGGTTCGCCTGACTGGGAGCACATCGTTTTTTACCATTCAGCAGTCTGGGAAAAGCATGCCTCTGTGTGCTGCAGAGCCTTTCCTATTCAGAGAGTTCTTGCAGGCTGGGACTTCTGTCTGATTTTGGTGTACTGGTAACAGTAAAACAAGTTGGATTGGAAGCCTTGTGTTATGATGAATCCTCTATCAGGAAAGCCGTGCTCACTTGAAGCTGTTCAAGCAACTGTCAAGAGGAAATGGAACAGCTGAGTGTAGTGGTACACACCTACCTATAAGGCTAGTTCTTAGGCTGAGGTGAGAGGATTGCAAGTTTGAGTCCAGCAGACAATTCAGCAAGACTCTGTCTTAAAATGAGAAAAGTAAAGTAAAAAGAGGTGTGTATGATAGAATACCTCTGGATTGAATACTCAGTACAGTTTTTAACAAGGGAGGGAAATGGAGCAAGCTCTTCTTACTTCTTACTCTAATTTGTCTTCAGTCTCCATCTTTGTTCTTAGATGATTTAAGGTGCTTAATGTCCCAAGAAAAAAATGAGATAATGGGTACTATTATACAGCTAGATGGGAAGAATAAATTCTGGTTTCTACAGTCTAATAGCATTACGCCAGTTTACAACGGTTAATATATTTTATGAAGAACTAGAAGAGAAGAGTATGGAGGTTCCCAACAAAAAGAAAGCACAAATAATCTAAAGAGGTGAAATGCTGATTACCTTACTTGGACCATCACACATTATGTGCAGAGTATTGTATCAGAGTACTAGTACTTGGGCGGAATTGGCCCACACTGGGACAGATTGGTTAACTGAGCTCCAGCTGGAAACTATGTTCTTCCAGGACTGTCCCTCAATGCAACAACTTCTAAAGAAGAGAAGGCACAATTCTGAGAGGTAGGGTGCTTGTGGTATCAGTGGGGATGAGAAAGGGTCAGATTGTGAGACAGGTTAGTTACCCTCCAGCAGTGGTAACCAGTCAATGACTTCTGCCAGAGAAACTGCATTTTCCTGCTGACCGTGCTCAGAGAACCTATGGATTTTTCCAGGCGATCATTTCCCCAGTTAGGTAACTGTGATCCTGCTCCCCTGTTAATTTACTCACTCTTGACTTCTTTTTATCTATAATGGTGGAGTCGGTACAGTCATAGGAGCTGGAGGACTTCTGTGCTTATTGAGTCAGAACTCATTATCCAGCTCCCCTGGACATGCATCGCTTTGCTTCTGAAAGCTGTGAGGACAGTGCCTCTCTTCTCTTTGGTTTTTCTTTGCAGCTGGTGCCTCCCAGGTCAAATGGAATAAAAGAAACGCTAACTGCCTTGCCACCAGCCACGATGGGGATGTGCGGATATGGGATAAGCGGGTGAGTAACCTTTTTCCTTATAGTTGGTCTTCAGTCCCTCCCAGAGTGTGGAAAACAATGTCACGCAATCCAAGATAGAATTATGAGTCTGGAGGGTCCCAGAGACTCTGCAGCATGGCAAGTTGTCATTTTAAGCTCACAGTACCAGGTGACATTTGCTTCTCCAACAAATTGCTGTCGAACAAAGAAAGGTAGGAAAGTAAGGCATTGTGATCATTGGCTGAAAAAGTGAACCTGCCCTGACTTGCAGTAGAATCTCACTTTGCCCCTCCTAATGAAGACAACAGGAAAGTCAGTATAACTTTTATAAGGCTCAGTTTTCTTTTCTTTCTTTTTCTTTTTTTTTGGAACCGGGGATCGAACTCACGACCTCACACTTGTCAGGCCGGTGCTTATGCCAGTGAGCTAAATCCCTGGACCTCAGGTTTCTTATCTTCAGAATGGAAGATAGTACGGTGAATGAGGTGAAACTTTTGGGACTTGGCACTTCCAGATTGATCAGAAAGCTTCATTCCTAGCCCCTGTTTGCAGAAGAAAACTAGTTGTTCTAGGGGTTGTTCCTGAATACTTCCAAAACAGATCCCTGAGCTTGTTATGTTCCATCCTCCTTAGAAGTCTAGATATCCCCTCAGCCTCAGAGAAGCTTGCACATTGATTGTGTATTGCACCAGCCCATGTGCTGAAGGCACCAAAAGGTGCCGGCGCTGGGTGTAGTGGAAAGTCAGTTGGAATTGCGGTGTGTTGGCGTCAGAATACAATACAATACAATACAATACAATACAATACAATACAATACAATACAATACAATACAATACAAGGAAAGAGCCTTCTCCTCGACTTGCTGCCAGAGAATTGGGTAATCAAGCCTCAAGTGGTCAACTTTGTAAGTGCTGAGGTGTAAACACTGCTTCCTATTTTGTGAAACTGGGGGCTCGAGATCCTTGGGTTCTTCACAGTTTCTTCTTTGCTTGGGGCACATAGGTAACACTGGGAGGAGGGCAGTGAGGCAGAGGCTGAGTGTGGCTGATGCGACACTGGTGGGGATGCAGTGAGCTGGCCCGCTCTGCCTTGGGTGGCTCTTAGGGCCAAAGGTGTGTTTATAAGAGTTGGATGGCTGTGTCTTCTACATTGTAGCTTCTTCTGTCCCTTTAGGTTAGACTAGCCATTTTCTCTTCTCTTCCTTTCTTAAATGATTTAGCTTTATTCAGTTTGTCACTATAATAGCATTTCAGCATAGTAAATAGTTTAAATAAAAATATTTGGTTAATTTTCAGTGTCTGTATGTTTGTCTTAGACTTTTCAGAGACATACGCAAAATAATTGGGTATTTAACCATGAACTCTTTCAGTTCCTGTTTCCTTATCTTGTAGAAGAATACAGCTAGGCTATTCCTTTTTAGTCTGCTGAGTGGTCCTTTACTGGTACTAATTTCCCTCTGCCTTTTAACTTTTGTTGAAAGAATTTTAACTTTTCTTTTTTATTGATACATAAGCCTTCTGCCTAGCTGTGTTGTGAACTTGCTGATGGTATTTTCTTTTCTCTGGCATTTTCTAATATCAAAGCAGTACCAGTGGCAGCCGCTGTCATAGGGTTAGAAAAGTTCAGGGTCAGTGGTGACATTGGATTTCCATCCAGCTTATGTATGGCTGATAATACTGATGTTTATTAAACATACTGCACATAGGCGTCTTTCTAAGAGCTTTGTACGTATTGATTATATTCTCTTTATAGCTAGCCTTTCTAGAAGGAATTGTTTAGAGTGCTATTTTACTGAGGAGTAAACTTAATGCCCGGACAGGAGCATGGGGAGGTTACGTTTGGAGACTATACTCTTAACCTCATAGACTAATGCAAGTTACAGAAGTAATTCAGGCTGTTTGTCAGTAGGACAGTGAAAGAAAAAGAAAAAAAGAAAAACCATTCATAATCATATTACCAGAGACAAATGCTAACATTTTAGGATTTTTTTCCCCTGTGCTTTAAAAAAAATATCACTTATGTTGTATGTGCTTTTTTTAATTTAAAATTGCAGCATTTCTTCCATGTTATAATCTCTACGTATAATTTTAAGAGCTATATTATAGTATATCAGATAGTTATGTATAATTGATACAAATTTAATTTTTCCCCACCTACGAGTTGTTCAGGTTGTTTCTAATATTCTAATGTTCTAAATAGCATCAAGATATATGTTAAGTTTTTTGTGAATTTGGATTATTCGCCTTAAAAATTTAAACAGTTTGTTTGTTTGTTTGTTTGTTTCAGACAGGGTCTGCATAGTCCACAGTGCCTTGAACTTGTGTGAGCCTCCTGAAATTATAGACAGGCATACATGATTATGTCATACTAAATCTTGCCAAATATTTTTCCATACTATTTTGTATGTACAACAGTAGTGACAAATACAGTCTCAGTAGAATTATTCTTTATACCTTCTAATTAGAAAGTTCAAAAAAATCATATTTTAATGTATATTTCTGAAGTTTTCTTCGGAGCTTGTCCATTTTTTTTAGTCCATTTTTAAATATGCTGATTTTTTTCTTTTTTGTGTGTATATGTTTTCTTTTGGGATCTTGGGTTCCCCATCACTATAAAATGGATGATTTTACTGTCTCAGTTGAGGTTAGCTCCCTTTGGATATTACAAGGCATAAGGGAGAGGGAGAAAAAGGAATAAATATGAAAAAGCGAAAGGTACCCATTGTGTATGTCTTTCATAAAGGTCAGGCTGGGTTGAGTAGAGATTAGGCTGCTGGGTCCATTTATAAGTCATATGACAGACCTCCAGGTAAGCCTTTTGCTGGTGGTAGTTGGTTTGGCTTAAACAAAAGAAAGTGCAATTTCTGAGGGCTAGAGACAGTAGCTGCAGTAGTATGTGTATCCCCTTCAGCAGGCTGTCACATGGGAGACACTCAGTGAATTCTTTCGATTGTGACAAACTCAGTGCCAATCTGTTGCAGAAACCCAGCACAGCAGTGGAATATCTAGCAGCTCACCTCTCCAAAATCCATGGCCTTGACTGGCACCCAGACAGCGAGCACATTCTTGCCACCTCCAGTCAAGACAACTCGGTCAAGGTGAGTGGCACCCACTGGGACAGTTGGAGGAGTTGGGTTTCAGAGGTGTCAGGGATGTGTGATAGCGCTTTGGAAGGAAAGCTACAGCATGCCAGCATGGTCTGTGTTTCCTGGGTACATGTGCTTCTTGGGGGAGCTGAGCAAGTTACGTTTTTTATTGTAGTTGTGGGGGAGGGGGGAGACAAGGTTTCATTTTGTAGTTCAGGCTCTCCTTGAACTCACTATGTAGCCCAGGCTGGCCTCAAACTTGAGGCCACCATACTCTACTAAACCTAGTCATTGTGACCAACAGGAATGAGTTTATAGGAGCTAAAGTTTGTTTAGGTTTTCTTTCCCTCAGTGGCAGAACATCAGAGACAAAGCATTGTGAAAGGAAGTTTACTTGGAAAAAAGTTTCAGGGGAGTGAGATATACACACAGAGATACAAGTAAAGGGGAGCTTGCAAATTTGTGAAGGTCACCAGGCCTACAATTACTCTGTTCATGGTGGAAAAGCAGCAGTTTTGTTGTGATTATCTTATCTGCAAAAGACATGACCTCTTAGACATCGGCACTGAGAATTGAGAGACAGTGTTATTTTGCTGGCATTCTCTAACTTACAGGAAATACTCAAGGTTTTACACATTTCAGTGATTGTTGTTTTTGGTTTATCTCAGAATACAGTGTTTGTTACCATTTGTCCCTTGGACTCTGGCTTATGCTGTGCCCCTTGATCAAAATGATAGCAGGGCAAGGCTGTTCTGCTGCACGGTTCCTCCTGTGGTCAGTCTTTCTCTCTGAGGATAGGGATTTGACCACAGAAGTTGGCCTAGCAATTTTGTGGCTCAGTATCATTAATTCAGTGCTTTATTATACTTACACAGTTTTGTGTAATGTCTTTTTGCTATGATTAACAAAATCTAGAGTAACACATAAGGCTTAAAAGTTAACATTTATCTTGAGGTGGAGCTGTCATTTACTTTTGTGTGTTAGAAGTGGCTATTTTGTTTGTTTTTACTTTGTTTGTTGTAGCTGATGTTTGTCCTGCATCCATGTCAGTTTATCTCCCAAGTTCAGGAACCAGGAACCATCCAAATTCTACATTTGAAAAAGGGATTAATAGTATCTGCTTTAGTTGTTTTAAAGATTAGATGGGATTTAAAAACTAAAGTTTTAAGCACCTGTCTGAAAGGCAGTAAGTAGTTGGGGCATTTAACTACTGTTATTAAATTGTGTGCATGGTGTAAAAGGATCAAAACCTGTCAGTTTTACCTTTCAGCTGAAAGGTCATGTAATAGGCAGGTTGACTGACGGTGGTCTGTCTCAAATTGATAATCCTTGTGAAGTCCAGAAATTCTCCTGTCATGTTGATAAATGGGAAAAGGAGAATTCTTTGTGTCTCTCCAAGTAGCATAGTTATGGGAGCCAAACTAAAAATACATTATTGAAAGGTGTCTTTGGAGGATAAAAAGCAGTGAGTTCTAAGACAATGCTTATTATAATACTTGAGTTTTTAAAATGCCATTTATCTTACAAACAACTTTTCTTCTAGTTCTGGGATTATCGGCAGCCCCGGAAATACCTCAGTATCCTCCCTTGTCAGGTGCCCGTGTGGAAGGCCAGGTACACGGTGAGTCAGATGCCCTCACTCTTGTTATGGAAAGTTCCTCTTGGTATTCCAGATGCAAGGACCCAGATTTTCTTGTATCTTCTTTGTGAGATGCTTTTTTTTTTTTTTTTTGTCTTGGTTTGGTGAGGGTGGTAATAATGGCATAAATGCTGCTAGTGACTTAACAGTCATACCCTTGAAATGTTGGTTATGTTCTGCATTAGAACTGCTAACCCTAGCTAGATGGAGAAGAGGCTACAAAAAGCTGTTCCTCAGGGGCATTGTGTAGCAATGAAAATAATTGGGTATTAAATTGTTTTTGTACCTGGAATCACTTGCTAAGAAATCAGACATTGTTCCTGTGAACTGATACACTTCTCTGGATGAATATGTTTGCTTTATAAAGTAAAAAATCCAGGAATGTTCCCAGAAGAGGATGTAAAAGTAAATAAATGTCCTCTTAGGTGGCTCTGGCTTATCAGAGCCACCTAAGAGCCCAGTTATCAACCGAATGGGCTCCTCAACTACCTAGCAGATTGGAAGTTGCTAAGTAGAACATCAGTCCTAAGGTCCCAAATCTCTCCTTTGAGTAGGTGGAGTCCTGGGCTGTAGAAAGGAGATAATTCATGTGGCTGCTGTACCTCTGGCCTTTCCAATGGCAGGAATTACATTTGCTGATCTAGTGGCTTCCCAGCAGCTCTGTGAGCCCCTTCTTTAGAAGGAACTCATAGAGAGAAACTAGGCTGTGAAACAGCAGTCAAAACTCTTTGCTTAGTGTAGAATTTTCAGAGTTCTTCTCCAAGCATTTGGCTCGGCTTACTTTCATTAGCTGTGGTCCCTTCTCTAAACAGAGTGCTGGGATTACAGGCGTGTGCCACCATGCCTGACTTTATCATCTAATCAGTTTTAGTTAGGAAGAATTCCAGTTTTGAAAACTGAGACTCAGCTGATTCTCCCAGAGTAAGTGACGTGTTTCCCTTTCTTGCCATAGCCTTTCAGCAATGGCTTAGTGACCGTGATGGTTCCCCAGCTGCGGAGGGAAAACAGCCTACTCCTGTGGAATGTCTTTGACTTGAACACTCCGGTCCACACCTTTGTGGGGCATGATGATGTGGTGTTGGAGTTCCAGTGGAGGCGGCAGAAGGAAGGTATGTGGGAAAGAAGACTGCTGTCCTTTGTCCTTCTGAGCTGTGATGGGTGGTGGCCCCAGGCATGTGGGCCATGTGGTCCAGGAAGAAGGGTTCCTATATGGGCTGTAGGAATCAGAGAGAGAGGAAGAGGGAGCATATTGCCTTTAATCGTAAGAGGGTGAACAGAGTGCATGGCCACTCCCCACCCCACAATTCCCCCTCTGAGTTTCAGTGTAGTCTCCTGCTTAGAAGAGACCTGCTACTGTAAGTGATTCATAAAGATTTGTTGTTGAATTGTTTCTCAGGCTGAAAGACCATGAGATCAGTGCCTTCTGTGGCCTGGGAGTTTGCCTCTTTCCTATTGATTGATTGATTGATTGATTGATACCAGCAATCAAACTCATGATCTTGCACTTGTCAGGAAGGTGCTTACACCACTAAGCCAAATCCTGGCTCTCTCTCCCTTTATTGATGAGGGAAATCAATGGTGGTTGTTATTACTGTCTGCCATGCAAGCTATAGCTCTCTTCTCAAACATGCAATGGTGTTTTACTTTCCATCTCCTTGATGATTTGGCCAAATGTCTTGCTTTGGTTGTGGAGCTCCAGCAAAATGATGGGTTTCTCCAGGATTGGAGTATTAGGTGGTATCCAGTTCTGCATTCTCTCCATCTCTGCCACACAAATGACAAGACTCCAGCTGGACCTGTTTCCTGCAGGTCCTTCCATGAGGCTGAAGTAGGGATGCAAAGCCACAGCAAATTCTTGCATTAAGGCATCGAGATTTGAGGCTGTTTGTTACTGCAGGTAAATCCCTCACTAATGGAGAGTCTTAGAATGATGGGAATTAGACAGTCGGAGCTTCGTTTCTCTACTAGCTCACCTTGTGAGTTTAGATGCAACTTCTCTTTTCTTGAGGCCTTATTACCGTAATCTCTAAGTGTTTGACAGAACAGTAGCATATTTGTTGATGTTTGCATATTGCAGCAGAGAAAACTAGGCAGCTGGAATGGTGTGACTTGTCCCCTGGGTCCTGGGAACTCCAGTGGACCCAGGATGAGAGCAGTCATCTTCTACTCCACTTGTTTTATTTTTAATTTATTTTTTATTAGTCCATGTTTGACATGCATAATAAATACATTTGTCATGAGGAGCTGGTGTATACCACACTTTGCATCTTAATCCTTTTTACTTCCTACCTCCCCAGTTTCCTATAACCTCTCTTATTTTACCTTTTAATTACTTATATTTTAGTTTTCTCCCCAGCTTGCTTGTGATCCATGTCAGCCTCTTCCAGAATATTTTCAAGGGGACACTTCTGTCTTTTGTTCTTTGAGACAAGGTCTCAATATGTAGTTCAGGCTGGCCTTGAACTCATAGTGGAACCCAGGCTGTCCCAAACTCATGGCGATCCTCCTGCCTTAGCCTCCTGAGTGCTGGGATTCTAGGCATATGCCACCATGCCTTGGGAAGATTTCTCTCTCTCTCTCTCTCTTTCTTTCTTTCTCTCTCTCTCTCTCTTTCTCTCTCTCTCTCTCTCTCTCTCTCCCCTTTTGGTACCAGGGTTCTAACTCCCAACCTCATGCTTGCTAAGCAGGCACTGTGCCGCTGGACCTCAAGCGGGCTCTTGATCATTCTGTTAGCTTTCCTGTTTTTATCTCCAAAATCTCTCTTGCTTCCACAAACATTAGGCTGCCTGGTTCTTACCTTGCAGTTGTGCTCATGGCTTTTGGCTTTTAACTTAATTTTTTGTATTTTGATACAGAAAGTACATAACATAATTTCCCCCATAGTCTGTCAGGGAAGAGCTGACCTGTAGTTTTGGATTGAAATGCATAGTTTTTAGCAACCCATTTTAAGTTATCTGTATAGCCTTTAAGCTGCTGGCGTGAGTTGTATAAACTGGAACTATCTAGCTAGTAGTGAAAATTTGATTACAAGATACACAGTTTATTTTTGTTTGTATTTTTATGATGAAATAGATCAAGCAGAAAATTACATAGAACATGTATGATTTAATAATTATAAAGTGAGAGCCATATCTTCCACCAAGGTCTAAAGAGAGAACATGCCAGGACTTTAGAAGCTTCCTGACTACAATTCCCTTCCTTCCCCCGCAACACTACCATTGTGAAGCTTTTCATAGCAATTTCTATTCTTTTTTTAATTTGTGGTTTCATCATTTTATTAATTTCTAAACATAGCTTAGGTTTGCCTGGTTTTGAATCATTTATGAATTTATCCTGTGTGGATTCTTACGTTTTACTTTCCTCCCAATCTAATATTGCTTCAGTTTCTTTTTACTGATTATCTTCTTAGTCCTTTGTTAGACTACCTCAGGCCTTGGTTTTGATTTTCACTTTGAAAAGGATCTTTCAAAGAGGTCGGAAGAGAATCAGGATGTTGTGGCCAAGGGGAAAGGATGCTTCATGAAGGAAGTGGTGGTCTTTGGTTTCAGGTATTGCTGAAGGAGGACAAAGCAGAGTAAAACTAAAGCTTTTTTTTTGTGCATTTAATTGAACCAAAAGGTCATTAAGAGGGGTAGTGCTCCAGAGCAGATGGAGGCTGCAAGCCTAAAGGCAGATTATAAAGTAGCCTACACCAAGGCAGCAGGACTGGTTTTGTTGTCTTCAAAGACTAAGAGTAGAGTGAGGCATAGGTGGGGGCTGCTGACCTCACTCTTTGAAGACGGGGAGAAGATGCACGGAAAGAAGTTGGGAAAGCAAGGGCCGTTTGGGGAGCAGTGGGAAGGGTGCAGGTAGAAGAGCAGAGTTCATAATGCTCTTGCACACACCTTTTCTTCAAAGCCAAGGCCATACAGAAAGACCAGGTTTATGGTCAGTTGATGACTTGAATATGAGACTAGATGGCAGGACCCCTTAGTGGGAACCATGAGACACAGGGAAGAGAGGCACGGGAAGGGGATAAAAAAAGAACTCAGACCTGTTATGTACACATATGGTACCAACTCTCTACAAGGAATGTGACCCTCATGTTCTGTAAACATGTACTAATATAGGTTTTTTTAAAAATTTTAAAAATGTCTCCAGGCGCAGTGACACATGCCTTTAATCTCAGCACTTGGGAGACTGAGGCAGAAGGATTACTGTGAGTTTGAGGCCAGTATAGACTACAGAGTGAGTTCAAGTCAGCCTGAACTACATAGCATACCAATACTATGTCTCAAAAAAAAGAAAAAAGAAAAAAAATTTTTGAAAAAAATAAGCTGGGCATGGTGGTGCACATCTGTAATCCCAGCACTTGGGAGGTTGAGGCAGGTAGATTGTTTCAAGTTTGAGACCAGTCTGAGCTACAAAGTGAGCTCAAGCCATCCTGAACTGCATAGCAAGACCCTGTCTCAAAAAAAAGTCAGGAAAAAAAAGTTGCTGTTTTGTTAAATGTGCTTAGGAATATATTAAAAATTTTTGATTAAAGGTAGTGACACAGAAGGAAACAAGAGAACTGGCCCTTGATTGTGTTGTCTTGATTTCTCTACCTATAAAATGAGCTAATTGGATGAAATTAATCTTTTGAGGGAAATTGTAGATGCTGTGTAATTGCCTTAAGTGTGCTGCTCCTTCATAAGATCTCTCACAAAGCTCCCTGAACCTTTTAGAATAATTTCCTTGTAAGCAGAGCTAATATGCAAAAATATGATTCAGTCAGTTAAGAAGATTAAAGGTTGATTATTCATCTTATAAAGGGAGGCATCACTTTTCCAAAAGATTCTTTTCAACAATAGGATGCCATGATGCATTTAAAACAATTCATTTTTACAAAATATGTATTCAGAGAGCTAGGGGTTTAGCTTAGTGGCACAAGCACTTACCTGTCAAGCACAGGTCATGAGTTCGATCCCCAGTACCAAAAAAAAAAAAAAAAGAAAAGAAAGCAAAATATGTATTTATCCCCAGCTCCTCAGCATAGAAAAGGAAGAACATTTGCAGAGGTGAGAGTTCAGTATGACGTTAAATCTCAGCTGCACTCTCTACCTCCTAATTTGCCAGTTATTATTTCACTTCATTTAAGTTTCTGCTCAGTGGGACCTCCCCAGGGAGTCCTATTTAAAAATAGCTCTCCAATCAGTCTCTGTCTTCTCTTGTATTATTTTTTATGCCACTTATCAAACTATCTAGCATTTTGTTGTATTTTTATTTCTTGTCATTTTTCATCATTGGAATGTGAGCTCTATAAAGATTATTCATGCCATCATTCTGGTACCTAGAAAAATGTTCCATAAATATTTGTTGGAGCTGGGTGTGGTAGCACATACCCCTAGCACCTGGGAGGCTGAGGCAGGAGGATGCCACAAATTCAAGGCCACCCTGCCTTAAAAAAAAAGTGTTGAGTGTATGTATGTTTGAATGAATGAATGAATCATACTCCATTGGGATCTGTAACAAAATAGATGTTAAACCCAGAAGAATTTTTATTTGGTGCTTATTTGGTGATTTTCTAGGGTCCAAGGACTACCAGCTGGTTACATGGTCTCGGGATCAGACCTTGAGAATGTGGCGAGTGGATTTCCAGATGCAGAGGGTAGGTATTCAGTGCTATTGGGCACAATAACTGGATACACTAGAAACTTCACTTAAAAATGCAAAATTCAGTATTTGTGGAAGTCAGAGAATACATGATAGATATTTAATGTATTCCAGCTGGCTGGCTGAATGGCTTAGGTATGCTACACTGACTTTGAGGTCTTTAAGAGCCAAATATTCAGCACTTTTTGGCCAGAGAGCTTCTAAATGTCTTTTTCTCCTGTCCTACTAAAGATGGGATGGGTTCTATACTGCGCAAAGGCCTGTGGGCTTTCTTACTTTCTCCTCTTGTACTTGGTGGCTGTTCTGAGCCCTCTCATCCATCGGCAATACTTCTGTGACGCTGATCCTAATTTTCTCTCCATGTATGATACTCGTTTCTTATGTAAACCACAGTAGCAGCTGCTGTGAACTGACTTTTTGACCCCTGTTCTGTGGGCCACCTTCTTATTTAGTGCTAACGGTGAGAAACATGTCTCATGGTGTTGCACCCCCCCACAGTGCCTGGCACACGGCCTTGCACAGAGCCAGTGGGGAATGCTGGGTACGTTTTGCCACACTGTTTAGTGTGTGCTTGAGCGTTTTTGTCAGGTGTCATCACCCTATTGCTTTTTCAACCTGTTTTCTCCAAAAAGTAGTGTTTGCCCCATATGCTTTGAGGTTATGATTTTTTTTTTGTGCCTCACTTAGCTGAATCATTTCATGAAGGTTTGTGATTTTGTGATTTCAATTAATTTTTTCTGAGCCTTGCATAAACTCTGTGAAGAGAGTGTCCTGAGTAGAATAATAGAGTTTTTCACTCTATATTTAACCAAGGAGAGTTGGTAATGGGTAGAATCTACTTTGGTTGTGGCCGTTATTGGCTGACACATTTCTATGCTTCATGATGGAGCCAAACACACTGATCATTTCCACTGACTTCTCTAGCCCCATGTCTTCTATCTTTTGTTGCAGCTCTGTGCCAATGACATATTGGATAGTGATGAGTTCATTGAGAGCATTTCTCTTCTGCCAGAACCAGAGAAGACCCTGCACACCCAAGACATTGATCACCAGCATAATTCAAGCCACGGGGAGGAAGAAGGTACTGTGTCAGACTGCTCTGAGGGGCGGGCTCTGTATGCATTTCACAGTTATGAGCAGGTAGCCCAGAATGGACTCACTTTCCAAACTGTGTTCCAGTATCACGCATCTCTCCTTTTAGCCTTGAAGGAAGATCCCCCTAGCAGTCTCCTGGAGGAGAGGAAGGCAGATCAGCTGGGGCTGCCGCAGACTCTGCAGCAGGAGTTTTCTCTTATCAACGTGCAGATCCGAAACGTCAATGTAGAGGTAAGTCCTAGCTCAGAGTCTGCCTGCTGGTTGCTCATGGCAGTTTGCAGGAAAAGGGACTATTTTGGCTGGATTTCAGCTAGCAAATAGATTTGCGCCTCTAACAGGTGAGTCTCTCTGCTTGCTGTCTCTTAATTCCTAGATTTTTTTTAAAAAAGAGATGAATGCTTCACAAATGCAGATCTCACACCCTTGCAGTGTTTGAATTAGAACCCAGGGCCTCACATGCCCTAGGCAAGCATCTACTCCTGAGCTTCGACCCCAGCCTCAGACCTTTTTCCTGAGCTTGCTCTTCTCCTAGAATGAGCTGAAGCCTGCATCCTTCCTTCGTTGCTCCAATACCTCATTTTGCTATGTATGGCACCACTTGCTCTGGGAAGTCCTCATTATCAGGGAAGTTAATGCAGAGCTGAATTTGGAAGGCAACCCTCTTGACTCCCCAGGCCATCTGCGCTGTGCCCACTGCTGTTATTTCCTTGCCGACTTCTTCCACGGTCCTCTTTATTCACTTAGCACTTGGAATCATTTATTCTTTTACTTTTGAGCAAGTATAGAAACTGTTTGTTTCAGAGAATTGCATATATCTCCAGGAAAGGGTTTTAATGATTGGTTAGTTTTTCTTCTGCCGAGATGCAGTTAACTGTGGGCAGAGATACGTGCCATTATATATCTGTCTCGCAGTTCTCTAAGCTGGGCATGGTGGTGCACACCTGTAATCCTAGTGTCTGAGAACCTGGGGTAGGAAGATCAAGGCAGATTTGAGGCCAATTTGAGCTACATAGTGAATTTAAGGCCAGCCTAAACTGCATAGTGAGACCCTGTCTCAAAAAGGCAAAAATAACAAATAAAGCTGGGTGTGGTGACATGTCTATAATCGCAGCATTTAGGAGAATGAGGCAGAAGTATTGTTGCCAGTTTGAGGCCACCCTGGGCTGCATAATGAGCTCAAGGCTAGCTTGAACTACATAGTGATGTTTTGTCCACCCAAAACCAAAATAATTCTCTAATAACTATTTCACCTATTTTATGGATGAGCAAACTGCAATACCAGAGGTGAAATGATTTGTCCAAGATCAGTAGCTGTTTGGTAGAGGAGGATAATGTTTGAATCCAAGTCTCTGACTTTCTGGCATGTTTGCTCTTTTCATTGTCCTCCAGCTTCCCTCTGTAGTTGGCAGCACCAGAAATCAACAGATTAATTTGTTATCTATATTAGCTCAGCTTTGACTTAATTGAGAACCATATGGCTGCCTAATGATTCGGTTTAAGGAGATCTTGATTCCTTTCCTCAAAAATCCCTCTAAAAAATTGTTATGATAAAGTAATAATTCACAAACCGCAAAATTCAGCCTTTTAAACTATGCTATTACTGGTTCTTAGTATAGTCACAAAACTGCAACCATCACCACTGTCTAATTCCAGAGTATTTCATCACCCTAAAAAGCATCTCCTTTGTCATTAGTGGTCACTTTCCATTTGCCCTCTGCCTAGCTCCTGGCAATCACAAATCGACTTTCCCTAGTATTTTTAAGTTGAATTAGGTTATTTCTTTTAGCTTCTTCCTGCTATATTTTCTCATCTCAAAGTAAATATGACAAATTTTAGCCAACTTCACAGCTTTGAGATAAACCTTTTTTTAAAGTCAAAATATTTACTGGGTAGGCTCCTGGGTTGCAGCCTCTGCCGTGGCACTGGGCCTCCATTTCTGCCACACATGTGCACCCCTGGCGTGGCAGCCATTAGTCGGCAGTGGGGCACACAGCATCTTGCAGTCCCTTTAGCTTCTCAGGGACTGGGGTGAGTGCTTGGCTCTCATCTGTGTTTCACCTTTTGCTGCTCTTGGCAGCCCCTGGCTCAGGGGTATCCCACCTCTGTCTCTGGGTTCCAGCACACTAGGTAAGGACTCCAGGACCTACCCCTGCACCCAGCCACGGCAGTAAAGAGGCTATGGCCCCACGCTGGATATTTAAATTTAAGGGCCAGCCTTTTGGGCACGTAAGTAAATACTCTCTTGGCAAAAATAAATTAGTTAATTGGTACTAACATTTAAAAATCTGTTTTGAAAATGAAGTAGCTCCCAGACTTATTTGTCTTTGTAAACTCTTCCTTATCCTCAGTTTCTGGGAACATGGAACATTCTAGTAGCTTTTGTAAATCCATTTGCATCTTGCCAGTTGGGTAACCTTGTGGTAGAGTGCTTGCCTAACGTGTAAGTTCCTGGATTTGAACCTGAGCACCACCAAAAGACTAAAAAATGAAAATAAAAAATCCACTTATATCTGAAGACCCTTTGCAGTTTGTCTCCAAAGCAGTTGTGGGCTTGTGTCTTGCAGATGGACGCAGCGGACAGGAGCTGCACAGTGTCTGTTCACTGTAGCAACCACCGCGTCAAGATGCTGGTGAAGTTCCCGGCACAGTACCCCAACAACGCTGCCCCTTCCTTCCAGTTCATTAACCCCACAACCATCACATCCACCATGAAAGCTAAGCTGCTGAAGGTGGGGCCCCAGTTTCTCCTTGCTTCTCTAAGATGGGCTCTGCTTGTGTGCTTGTGTCTAGGCTGAGTAGAGAAATTGAGTGAAAACTTGGATAGGTAAGATGTGGGAGGCATGTGTTTCCTACCCTAACCTTTTACTTCCTGTGGATAGCATGAGAGCTGTGGTCCTTAACCTTTTGTTTTTGGGTCATGGGTGCCCTTCAGAAGTCTAATGAAAACTGTGGGCCCTTCTTCAGAAACATTTGTACAAATGCTACATGTAACTTCAGAAATATTGCATATAAATGTTTGAATTGAGTATAATCTGGTCATAGATTGTATTAAAGCTAGGCATTAATCCTAGGTTAGGAACTCTGAAAGATAATTTTATTTATCTGTAGATAAGGGGTTGGAGATTTAGCACAGTGGCATAAGTGTCTGCCTTGCAAGCACGCGGTCATGATTTCAATCCCCAGTACAGATTACAAAAAAAAAAAAAAACCTTTGTCTGTAGATAATAGGCAAAATGTATTCTGAAACCAGAAGATATTTGATAAAATAAAAGTGCATATAGTTGGGGCTGGGGATTTAGCAAAGCGGCATAAGCGCCTGCCTTGCAAGCAGGCAGTCGTGAGTTTGATCCCTGGTACCGATAAAAAGGAAAAAGACCAAAAAAAAAAAAGTGCATATAGTCATCAGAAAGACTCAATCCTGTAGAAGGTCCTATAGCATTATCCTGGAGACAAGCTAGCTAGCTACAGGCCAGGTATGTGAGGGACGGTCGTGTCTGCATGTAGGCACCACAGCCTGGTGCCTGGTCTTCAACCCTGCCATGAGGAGCTAGAGCCTTTATTTTTAAAAAGCCCATGAAGTGAGCGGTGGTGGTGACACCACTAATCCCAGCATTGAGCAGGGTGAGACAGGAGGATCAAGGATTCAAGTCCAGTCAGCGCTACAGTAAAGCAAGGCTCTGTCTCAAAAAAATAAAGTAAAAAAATCATGAGCTAGGAGGTAACATGCTTTTATTTGGTTTGAGCACTATCCTGAATGAAGGAATTAAAATGCCATGATAGACCCAAGCTGAACTGAGTGTTGATTATCTTTTCCCTGTTTTGAACCATACACATTGTTTTGTCTTGTGGTATCACATATAACCAGAAATTTTTGAAGTGGTTTAAGAATCCCTGAAGGGACTTCCAGGAGAACATGGCATATAGATAACAGCAGCTACGGAGACTCTCTGAGATACCCAGCTTAGAATCCAGGAATGGTGTGGTGTGAGGAGTCCTAAGCAAGGGAAATGTACCCTGCCAACCCAGGAACGAACTAAGCTGAGAGAAACCAACTGGAAATGCAATCCCAGTGCTATAACCGGAACAGATAAAATCTCAGTGCGTAAGCCGGAACCCATGCCTCTGGAAGCCACGATTTGAGTTTCCTGCTGCCGCTGCTGAGTCCAAATCGGCACAATGGGAGAGAGTTCTGAAAGCTCTGACAGCGGGAATCGGCAAACAGGGTTGAGAGCAGGCCGGCGGGGAGCCTTGCATCGACCTGCGGTGAGTGAGAGGAACAGGGACCCTTCCATAGACTAGGAGGCTCCAAAAGAGGACATTCTGGGACCGGGCACACTAGCCAGAACAGGACGCTGCAGTGACTTTAGTCGCATATTCCCCTCTCAAGTGGGATTGGTGCAGAGCTCTTGGCTTGGGTGACGCCGCTGACTAAGACCCAGTAGGCTAGCCCAAACCAGGTCCCAGCCCCTGGCGGTGCACCCTAGCAGTGAAGCCTTCAGTAGGTTGACTGACCTGGAGGGGCAGGCCCAGCAGAGGCTGCCCAGGTCTGTGTCTCCCTAGTACACTGCAGTGGACGGGAACACCTAGCAGGTGCAATTCAAACAAACTGTAACCATCAAAGAAAAAAACTGGGCCTCCTATGTACGCTTGTATGAAGGAACAAAAAGTATGGGAAGAGGGAGCAACAAGGAAGGGTCCTCAGTCCCCAATCCTGAGAACACTGATCCAGGAAAGGTAAATGGAAAGGAGAATGAGGACAGAAAACACGCAGTTTCAGGCACAGCACCAATAGACATAAAGCGATATCTCCGGAGCCTCATAGATAAGTTTAAAAGTGAAGTATTTAATGAAATAAAGCAAGATATAAGCAGAATAGTTAGAGAAATGCTAAACACCGCCCAAGAAAAAACAGATGGTGGAATGGAAGAACAAAAAAAGGGGGGGAAATTGTTTGATGGAGAAAATAGAGAAAACATAGAATACATGAAGCAGGTTCAAAGAGATTACCAGGAAACTAAAAACTCTATTGAAAGCTGGCATAACAGCTTGAAAGAAACCAAGGATAGATTATCTGAACTGGAGGACAGGTTTGTAATGTGGGAGCATGAAATGAAAAACTTCTTAAAAATAACAAGAAAACAAACAGCAATAATACAAAGGCTAGAAGATGATACGAGGATCTATAACTTAAGAATTAAGAACGTACAAGAAGAAGTAGGGACACAAACAAATGAACTGCAAAGGCTATTCACAGAAATAATCCAGAAGAATTTCCCTAATTTAGCAAAAGGTAAAGATACTCAGATATATGAGGCATATAGGACCCCAGCCACCTACAACCCAAACAGAGCTACACCCAGGCATATAATAATCAAAATTCCAGAAATCCAATATAAGAACAGAATATTAAAAGCCATCAGAGATAAGAAACAGATCACTTACAAGGGAACACCCATCAGAATTACAGCAGACTTCTTGGCACAAACCATCAAATCACGAAGAGCGTGGGAGGAAATAATTCAAGCTTTGAAAGATAATAACCTCCAGCCAAGATTGATATATCCTGCACAACTGTCCCTAGAAATTGATGGAAAAACAAGGTGCTTCCAGGATAAAGAGGAACTAGGGGAATTTGCAACCACCAATTCAACTCTACAGAGAATACTGCAGGATATTCTAAAAAAGGAAAATACCAAGACTTCAGAAACAGTGTCAAAGAGGCCACAATGAATGGAGCAGAAAGTGAAATGAAGAAGACAAACTGACAACAAATGACAGAAAAAGAGCTCAACAGAAATGAGGGAGAGAAGATTGGATGGTAGGAACAGCTATTGTGGAGAAAACAAGACATCATAATAGCTTAGTGCTGATTTAGTATCATTTTGTTTTGAAGTCCCATCAAGCTTTTATTCTTCTGTCTCCATCAGTCTTAACAGGTTGTATCTTATTGGGTTTTATTATATGTGATAATATAAACGAAAACCCCCCCCCTTTTTTTTTCTTTTTTCTTTTTATCGGTACCGGGGATCGAACTCATGACTGCCTGCTTGCAAGGCAGGTGCTTATGCTGCTGAGCTAAATCCCTAGCCCCTAAACGAAAACTTTTATAGACAAGGAGATTATACAGAAACCACTGTTCATTTTCTGATAGTTGGTTCTAAATACCCTGCAATACTGTCATTCTCTTGAATGGTTTTACATTGTCTCAATATGTTTGGTGCTACAGTATACGAAGTTATACTCAAAGATTTCAAGGAAAGAGATACTACGGTAACTACTTTTATGTCAGGATATCTTGTGATGAATCACTATTTTGCTTAAATGGTTATGTTTTGACCTGCGCTGTTTTGTTGTTATGCCCTCTTTTATCTCAATCTCCTTTTTTTAATTATTTACTTTTTTATTTTTATCTTTTTTTTTTTTTGTCTTTTTCCTTTTTATCAGTACCAGGGATCGAACTCACGACTGCCTGCTTACAAGGCAAGCGCTTATGCCGCTGAGCTAAATCCCCAGCCCCCTATTTTTATCTTTTTAATTAAGGAAAAAATAGAATATATTATAGCCACCCACTTTGATTTCCTATTAACTTGATTTGAAACCCTGTATTGCTCTCACTATCTTATTTTGATTGATTTTCCCCTATTCGGCTTTGCTTAATAGTACCAAGTTCGCAAGTATAGGCAACAACTTTGAAGACAATAAGATTCATTATGATGTCCATTCTGGTTGCCTAATGATCTTCTGTTGAAGTCCTGTAATGTCTCCAATGTTTTGGTTTTATTCTTTACTGTTTTGTTCAATTTTATTATAACTGATGTTATAGGCAATTCTTTTTAAGATAGCAAGAGGCAATATGGTAACCATTTTTGATCACCTTGAATTTTTTTTTTCATTATGTATTATGTCCATTCTTTTGACTTGACTGACTCTGTTCTGTTATGTCACATTTGGTTTTACTCTCTTCAAAAAAAAAGTAATAAGAACTGTGGGAGTAATAAAACCCAAAATATGTAATTGTCATTGTACAAAAGAGAGGAAAAGAAAGTGCTCTAAAAGATATAACTGCATGTATATTTAAGATATATTTAATAGATAACCATATTACTGAGTTTTGTTGGATCACTGAGCGGAACTGTTTGCAATCTCACTGTTTGAAAGTCCACTTTATATTCTTTAATTTTGTAACTTGAACAACTGTTTCTAAGATGACAATATGTAATCTATTAATTAGTGATTTCCTACTGTTTATTTTTTCTGAAATTCTATATAACTTGTACCCTTTTTCTTTTTTCTTTTTTTTTTTTTCTCCTTAAATAAAATTAAAAAAAAAAATCCCTGAAGAACTAAGTACTTAGATTTCATGTTACAGTATTTGGCATTTTAAACTTAGATTCTATTTCATTGCTTCGTTTAGACATAAAAAAAGATGGATTTTTTTTGCATTGTTGTAAAAAGATAAGCTTATGAAAAGTCTTTAAAGGTATAGGTCAGCTCTGTCCAATAGAAATACAATCAATGCAGACCTCATGTAATTACGTATTTTCAGTTAAAAAAATTTTTGAAAAGCAAGTAAATTAATTTAAAAATACCTTCACTTAATCCAGTATATCCAAAATAGTATTCCTATGTAACATAAAATCAAGGTAAAATTACTGAAATAGAAGCTGGGCATTTAGCTGAATGGCACAAGTGCTTGCAAGCACAAGATTGTGAGTTCAATCCCCGGTGCCAAAAAAAGTTACTGAAGGGCTAGGGGTTTAGCTCAGTGACATAAGCTCCTGCCTGGCAAGTGTGATGTCATGAGTTCAATCCCCAGCACTAAAAACAACAACAACAACAACAACAACAACAACAACAACAAACCAAACAAAAAAAACACCTTAGTTTCACAAAAAAATTACTGAAATAGTTACAGTTTTTTAGTTCTTCTTCAAGTCTATGATTTTCCACCTGCAGCATGTCTTGTTTTAAGTTGGATTTTTTTTTCCAGTACTGGGGATCAACCTCATAACTTCACGCTTGTCAGGCAGGCACTTGTGCCACTGAACTAAACCTCCAGCCCTTAAACTTATTTATATACATATTTTCTCTTTCCATTTCTCCAGTGGAATTTTTTTTCATCTCTTATTTTAGATGAAGCTCATTTCATGTTATCCAGTTTATATGCCCACCTCAGTGTGGATGCAGGTTCCTGTCAATAGCACACACATGTTAGGATTTATTGGGGTTTTTTCCCTCCATACATTAGATCTTACCACTTTAAAGGACAAAATAAAAATAAAAATACATTGTAATTTTTACTGAGGAAAAATCTGTCCTCCCTGGCTTGCATCTCCAGAGTAGCTTTCCGTCCAGGCCAGCAGGTATTCCTTCCAGTGTGCTGCCATTTCCTGTGGACGAATAGGGTTGGGAGAGAGCCAAAGAGGCAGAATTCACTAGAGCGAAATCACCCTGCCAAAACCAGCAGTGTAAATCCTTGGCTGCAGAGGGCTGCTTCTCTAGGAGGCTTAGGAAGGCATCCTTCTCCTTGACCCCTCAGAGAAGACAAGAGTGTTGTGCTAGAAGCCTCAGACCTGGTCATACTCCAATCCCATGTGTGCCATGCTTTTGACTACTTGGCAGAATAAAGCCAACCTGGGATTATGATACTCTTTTTTTTTTTTTTAAGATAGGGTCTCACTTTGTAGTTCAGGCTGGCTTTGAACTCACTGTATAGCCCAGACTGGCCTCAGACAAACTCACGTCAATCTTCCTGTCTCAGACTCCTACATGTTGGGATTGCAGACATGTGCCACCATGCCTGGCTAATATGGTACAGTTTCTGATTGTGTTTTGTACCTTTTCTAGATCCTGAAAGACACCTCGCTGCAAAAAGTGAAACGAAACCAGAGCTGTTTGGAGCCCTGCCTGCGCCAGCTGGTCTCTTGCCTTGAGTCTTTTGTGGTAGGCATCATGAAATTGTACCAACTGATGTAGTGGTCTCTTGTTTTGTTTCTTCTTCTTGTAATCTTGGGTTCTCTGATTTGTAACATTGAATCCTTTTTTGTAATTCAACTTAAAGATAGGTTGTGGTTTTTTTAATTTGCTTTTTAAATTTCAGAACCAAGAAGACAGTGCTTCCAGCAATCCATTTGCACTCCCAAACTCTGTCACGCCACCCTTACCAACATTTGCACGGGTCACCACTGCCTATGGGTCTTACCAAGATGCCAATATCCCCTTTCCTAGGACTTCTGGGGCCAGGTTTTGTGGAGCAGGTTGGTTTCTTGTGGTTCTGATTCTAGATTTTAAGAGTATAGCCAAGAGTATTGTGTATTCTGTGTAAGCATCTTCAGAAAAGATTTTGTTTTTATTTCCTGAAAACTCAAAAAAGACTTTTGTCATGTTGTAGGGTATGACACCATATTTGTGTGTGGGCATATCTTAAGAGTGTACACCAGAGGTCAGACCTCCATTTTTTTCATTCTTATGACCTTGGATTTTCATCTGCTCAGATCCCTCTTTAAGAGGATAGATCTTCTAGTAGAGATACATAAAGTACCTTGAAGACTTTATCCCATCTTTCCTGAACCCTGGAGTGTCTGACCTTGTTCCTGCAGTCATGAACCCTTGCAAACTCCATGAAACTGTGTCTCATCTCAGGGATATTGAAATAGAAAAAAGCTTGCCCAGTCCTGCTTCAGGGTTTCCCACATGCAGCGCACTGACCTTGACATGCCTGTCTGCGGTTTCCTTTGCAGGCTACCTGGTGTACTTCACAAGGCCCATGACAATGCACCGAGCAGTGTCTCCAACAGAACCCACTCCCAGGTGAGTCTCAGAAACAGAGAAAGATGACTCAGGGCCAGAAGGGGACAGAAACCTGGGAAGGAAGCGGGACGTGGTGGCTCATGCCTGTACTCCCAGCACTCGGAAGTCTGAGGCAGGAGGATTGCTGCAAGTTCGAGACCAGCCTGGGCTACAAAGTGAGCTCAAGGCCAGTCTGAACTGTGCAGCGAGACCCTGTCTCAAAAAGACAAAAAAAAAAAAAAAAAAAAAAAAAGAAACCTGGGAAGGAACACTGAACCTATCTTTGGACAACTTATTTTAGTTCTTAAACTCCTGGTAAGATTCATCCAAGGAAAATCAAGGTTTATTAAATTGAAGAAAAGCTGAGACTCCTGCTATAAAGTTACCATTAAACCACATGAAGGAGTAGTTTGAGAAAAGCTATTACTGAAACAAGGGAAAATTCTTTTCCTTTGGAGTACTGGGAATTGGAGCAAAGGAGCCTTTTTAACATTTAACATTTCCATTTTGAGACAGGTCTCACTTAATTGCCCAGGTTGCATTTGAATTTGTGACTTTCTAGCTTCAGCCTCTGAATAATTGGGATTATAAGCCTGTGGCAAATTCTTTTTTAAGGTGCTTTTCTCCTATTGCTAAAGTATTACTTATTTTATTATTATTTTAATATTAAATAAAACTGAAAACATTATAGTTTTATAACACTGATATGCTACTTCTAATATTACCAAAATATATAATTTATAGAAGTATATTTAAAAAACTCAGTTAAAATGCAAAAGCCCTTCCTTTTCTTTCCCCTGTTCTGTTAACAAGAGAAGGTATTTATGTCATCTTCATGATTTTTGTGCTTTTTTTCTTCTTATTTTCATCCTGATAGGAAATCTAGTGTAGCAGATAGGGCTGTGAACTTAGGGCCAAATTGTCCAGTGATTCGGTAATATTGGGGAGCTTATCTAAACAGCATCAGTGTCCGGAGCAGCAACATGGGGGGTGCTAATAGCACCCACTGCCTTCACTTGCTGGAAACACTAAATGAGCAAATCCTTGTGAAAGCGTTAAAATAAGTCTGATACGTGGGAAGTGCTGACTGTTTCCTGTGACCCCTGGTTTTTAAACTTTAAGGATGTACAGTAATGTGTTTAGTACTTGTTCTGTGGTGTGGCGATCAAGATAAGTTGGAAACTTTCTGATGTAAGCATGCAGTATATGAGATACAGCATCAATAGCCAGGGCAGTTAGAAATAACTCACTGGACTAAGAAGAAACCTTGGAGTGCAGTGTGTGAGCCCACACTCCTGCTCCACTGGAAGATCCCCAGGCTCCACGCTAAGCCAGGCAAAGGAGACCTTGACCCACAGGATCTGGAGTTCAGTCACCAGGAAACCTGCATTGCACCAACTGCTGTTGGAAAGGCTGTACTAGAAAGCAGTTACCTGCTCTCCAAGGGAAACAATGAGTGTCGGTGTCTGGATTTTGGTCATATATTCTGCTGGGAACATTTTTCAGCCAGCAGTGCTTTACTGAGATGTAATGAGCATTGTATAGTTCTGAAGTAGACTGTGTGGTGACCAACACTCAGATCAAGAAAGAAAGCATTATCCTCATTCCCAGAAATTCCTGATCCTTTTCCCAAGCCCCTCATTACTCAGAAGAAAAACCACTGTCCTGACTTTTATCATAGTTTAGTTTTGTGGGGGGGGGGGGGCGGGGGGGGTGGTGGTACTGGAAGTTTAATTTCAGGATGCTCTACTACGAGGCAACATCCCATCACCCTCCCTTCCCTTTCCAAGACAGAATCTTGTTATGTTATGTTCCTGAATTGGACTTACATTGTTGATTCTCCTGCCTCATTCTTCCTCAGTGCTGGGATTACAGGTGTGCACCACTGCACCTGGCTTAGTTTTGCCCTATCTTAAATTTCATTGAAATAGAATCACGTAGCGTGAGCTGTTTTATGTCTGATTTCAGTCTACTTAATGTTGCTGAACTTGATCCACATAGCTGCATGTAGCAGTAATTGCATTGTATGAGTGTATCACAGGGTGTTCATTCTCCTATCAATGAATGTTTGGACGGGCTCCAGTTTGGGCTATTATGAGTACAAGTCTCTTTAGGGACATACATATGAATTTCTTTACTCAAGAAGTGGTACTGTGAGTCACAGGATATAGGCATATGTTTAATTTTATTAGAAAATTCCCAAAACTTTGTGCACAGTGGTTGTATCATTTTGCTCTTGTGCCTGTGGTGTTTCAGAGTGTTGATTGCCCCACAGCATGTCTCAAAGCTTGTACTGCCAGACTTTTCAACTCTGTCTTCGTTGTATGTATGAAATATTATTGTGGTTTTAATTAGTATTAACATGATCGTGACTAATGAGGCCCCGCAGTTTTTGTGGGCTCATTGACCATTTGCTTATCTTTGTGATGTTGCTGTCACATATTGTATACTTTTTGAAGGCACTGTAGTTCTTATTTGTGATATTTATTTTCATTGCAAGTCTTTTCAGATATGCATATTGATTTTCTCAACCTGTGGCTTATTTTTCTCTCTTTAATCTTTGATGAACAGCAGTTTTTAATTTTGCTAATGCCCAATTTATCACTTTTTAATCTTATGGTTAATGATTTTCGTGTTGTATTCAAAAAACCTTTACCTATCCCAAGGTCACAGAAATATCCTCCTGAAAGCTTTATGATTTCTGATTCACAGTCTGTGATCCATTTTGTGTACAGTGTGAGTTAAGGGTCAAAGTTTGTTTTATTCAGTAGAGATAAACAGTTGTTCTAGTCCCAGTTAAGAAAAGATTCCTTGTTGAATTTATAGTAATATTACCTTGTATTGCAAGTTTTAAAATCTGATCTTTGAATGCTTTTAATTTTATATTCTTGTTCAATGTTGGCTATTCTAGGTTGTTTTGTATTTCTATAAAATAAAATTAGTTTAGTTTCTACTTGTAAAAACCTGTTTCTGTTATTGTATCGTAATTGTATTAACTCTAGATTGCTTAAGAGGAAACTGGCATTTTAACAATATGGAGTCCTGTAACCACTACCATCATACATCTCTATTTTTGTATATCTTTTTAAATTTCTCACAGCAGTCAGTATTCGATGTTTTGATGCTATTGTAGATGAAACATTTTAAGTATTTATTTTATTGTTTGTTTCTAATACATAGACACAGATTTGTATAGATTGACCTTGTGTCTAAATTTACTAATTGCTATTTTAGTATATGTGCTGCTGAAGCAAGTACTAAATTTGCTAATTGATTCTAGCAGTTTGTAGATTTCTCTGAATTATTTTTGTATCCAATCATGGAAGCATTCTGTCTGTAGATAAAGCATTTTTCAGTTCTAAAAGTTTTATTTGGTTCTTTTTTTAAAATTTCCTTTTTCTTTCCCTGTCATCCCCTCTTGGTTTCATCTAGTGCTAAGAATGGCACTACTTAGAAATATGAAAAGACTACAGCACATATGGGTAATTCTAACTTTCAATGACAGATCTCTCTCGGCCCTGTCTGCTTATCATACTGGCTTGATTGCACCAATGAAGATTCGCACAGAGGCCCCTGGCAATCTTCGTTTATACAGCGGGAGCCCCACTCGCAGCGAGAAAGAGCAAGTCTCCATCAGCTCCTTCTACTACAAGGAGCGGGTAAGTGCCCCAGCCATTGCCTTTGGTTCTTGCCTTTCTCCTGGGTTCTTACCATGCACAGCAGTGTAGTAATCCCTGCGTATTATTCCACTTTCATAAATAGTTTGTTCATGAAAGTCTGGTGCTCTGTTCCTTTCAGTTGACTTTAATCAGTGTGGCTTGTGTGATGGAGAGGAAGGGTGAGCTCTAGAGTCTTTCATGCTCCGTGTGACCCTGTCATGTAACCCCTATCCATCCAGTTGCTCCCTGTTATTTCCAGTGGAATAAACAGCTTCAGGTCTTCCTGGCCATTCTAATATTTGTCAACAGGTTAAAGAAAGTTCTGGAAGCTGTAGTTTTGATATATTTCGAACATCATAGTTATGAGATCTTTAAAATTGGTATCTAAAAGGTTTTTTTATTTCTGTTAAGAATATACTTAAATACCCTTTAGAATGGATCAGTTTATACAGAAATCACCTGACTTGCCCATATGTTTCAGAGTTATTAAAGAACTCATCATCCCTAAAGTAGTTATCACAGTGCTGGCAGAAACCTTTGGTAGCGGCAATGTAGTGAATGCTGGCAGAACATAGGAACGGTTATCAGAATTCTTTCTGGGTTGTCAGATTGAGAATTTGGCTTAAACAAGTTTTAGCTGACATGGTGTTTAAGCAGTTACCACTGAGCTATTCCATAAACTCAGTCCTTAAATTCTTGGGTATCATTCCCTGCTAAATGAGAAATAAGAAATTATTATTTTTTTTTTTTGGTATCAGGCATCAAACTCAAGACCTTGTGCTTGACAGGTAGGCACTTATGCTGCTGAGCTATATCCCCGGTCAAAGTAATTTGTTTTTAAAAATTGTGTTAGTTTTAAATTTAAAACCAAGTTTCTGTCAGGTATTGAAAGTGTCTTCACGTGGACTGCAGTGTAGCCGCTCCCCCAGCTTGTGGTAGCTGACCAGCTCCAACTTGATGTGGTCCTAGAGCTTTATGTGACTGGGTGGCAGCAACTTCTGTTTGAAACAGCAGTCTTGTCTCAAAACCTTTCAGTCAAATAGAGGAAAAGATTGTAGGTTGCCTTCTTGGCCAACTTTCTGTGGTCCCCTTCCTCACGTGTCTGATAGGGTTCTGTCCCGTGGGCTGTCACAGATCTCACTGGAACACCTACCTAACCATATCCTTCTTAAGTCCCCTATTTTAAATTTTTAACTCTTTTTTTCTTTTTCTGCAGGCTAGCAGGTAACTGGATAGATGATTTTGTAAGCTATTTGGAACTAAGGCACTTAATTGCCGTAAAACCCAGACACACTCATGGTTGACTAAATGTGAGAATTTTCTTTAACATTAGGGCTGGTCTGAGGAGATCTTTCAGTCAGAGGCAAATCTGAATTTCCCTTCCATTCATGTCAGCTGCTGTCCACCTGTGCTTGGAATGTAATTGGACAGAATAGACTGGCTAGCACTGTAGACTTTGTGGTAGTATGTAGAGCCCATTTCTAATCGAAGCAACTTCATTTCTGAGACGGGACCTTTTCTAATACAAAAATACTGGTAAAGCCTGTGTCCGTGTCCCTGGCTTCTTTTGCTGCAAACACCGTAGTCCTCACGACGGTCCAGAGCTGGGGACTAATAAGATCTGTGGGGGAGTGGCAGAAGGAATGTGACATTCAGTTTGGGGTAGTTCCACAGAAAATGGACCATTCTAATACCCTAGTCTAGCACAATAGCCAGTCTTTGAGTTTTAAACAGTGTCCAAAATAAAATGGGAAGACACTTGTATTATAATTTCACATGTATCAATGTACAGTATACATACAGAAAAGTTCCTAAATTATGACGAAGGTGGAGTTGAGTGTTTTCACTCTCACGTAGATCATTGTAAGACCCTGAGAATCCCTATACAAAGCCAGACTTTACTGATTGACATATAGTAATTCTTAGGTTAAGTCATATGAAACTGATACTTGACCATTTTTTGATCTAAAAAATTTTCATATTGTTTATCCTATTAATAAAACAAAAATGATTACAGTCAGTCATATCATGGTGAATCTGAAGTAACCTTATCTCTCCCTGAAGCTCGTTTATGCTCATCTGCTTTCACTAGGGAAGGAGGCACTGAAGTCATGGGATTCTGCCATGAGGTCTGCATAGGCTGCCACACCACCCTTCCAGAGCTTGCCACTCCTCAAGGCGCATTTTCTAGCCTTCAGGAGTCTAGTTTCACCGGTTAGTGATAGCACTTAGTCATTTTTGTTCAGGAAGCATTTCCAGCTTACTAATCATTTTTGAGCCCCAATTTTTCTCCAGCGTACTTTTACTCCCTTTTAGATCTCTGTTCTCTTCCTGAGATCGTCAAATGTGGGAGAATGAAGGAGTGGCATTGATGCCTGTCAGAAGACAGAGCAATGAAGGAATTCCAGAGTATTTTTGAGAGTATAAAGACTCTTTGCAGAGCTATTTGGACATTTGTTTGTTTTTCTTGTGTTTTTAGCCTGCCCTACTTAGGTCAAATTGCTATATCCACCCAGTATTCCAAGGTTATTTCCCTAAAATCTCAAAAATGTGAGTGACCTAAAAACCTCTCATTTCATTGGGAGTCAGAAAGCAAAGAGATGCTCATATGAATGGATATAGCAAGCAGGCCAGTTATTAATAACTGTTGAAATATTATTCAAAAGAAAAGAAATATTGTTCATTCTTAGGATAAATCACAAGGTCTAGAACTTGTGATAAACAGTAGTCATTACCTGATAAACACTTAAAAAAATCACAACCTTTCATTTCTGCTTAGCGTATGTTACTGAGAATAGTTTTGGTGTAAAACCTGGGGAGGTCTTTGTGTTATTAAAATACCTTCTGGTCTCCAGAATCAGGCTGTATGCTCCCTGTTCCACTGTCTTTACCAAAGTCCCCCAGGAGTGTTCCTCCTCTTCCTCCTGCCCCTAGTCCTCCAGGACCCTGTGCTCCCCAACATAGCTCCGAAAGTGGCCCTGAAGTCCCATTTTCCAGACATGCAGTTTCCTTATCGTGCCAGCTGCCTCCCCCATCAGGCACCGAGCCGTGGGAGATGAGAATGCACCCTCACTCAGCATTTCCTTCTCACTGATTGAAAGGGCAGGGGCGGGAGAGAGCCTCCCCTGGTTCTCTGCTTTCACCATGCTCTTTGCCCTTGTTCAAGCACCTCAGCCGTTGGTGGTAGTCCCTTTTTCAGAGCTGTGTTGATATTAGCCGCCTTGTGTCCTGAAACATGACTTAGAACAGCCACCGTGAGGCTGGGTCTGGTGTGTGCTGGGAAGGGCTGGGAGTTGAGGGAGTCGGAATGCTGCTGGGCCTCAGGTTCAGATTTTTTCTGCTGTTCCACTCCCAGTTTTGTGGTGTAAATACCTTTGAATCCAGCAGATGTGGGGGAAGCTTTCATTTTATTCTATATTTTTCCCTTTTAATTTTCTTGGTGTTTTTCTTCCCTCCTCCTGGGTGTAACGTTTTCACGCACAGATGTCTCCTCGCTCTGCCCGGCGACGTTGGTCCATACAAGCAATTAACGACTTCCCGGTACTGTGCGCTGTGCAAATGCTCTCCTTAACTAATCCTGTCTCTACCCAAAGGCCCAAGAATAAAATGCCACCTGCCTGGCTTTGAGGAACCTGAAATGACAGGCTAACTGGCTTTCAGGACCAGCGACAGTAAATTCTTCTCTCTGAGGAGTCCGGCTCTGAGGCCTGCCTCCTTGTTCCATTGTGGAGTAACAGTGGGTAAATGCTGGGGAGTATCACCGATGGACTTCATAGCAAATGAAACTTACTATGGGTTCTTAGAGGGAACCCCAAATAAACGACCTCAGCTTACCTGATTTCACTTGGAGTGTTTGTGTAATGCCATGGAGTTTCAAACGCCTACCTTTGGCATGGGGGAACAGAGGAAGATATAAGAGGATTCTGCCACTTAGCCTCTGTTTTTGTAGTTTTGGTCCTGCTTAGAGAGGGAACTGTGCCCGCCTGCTTCATTGGCGTGATGCATATGCTAGTTTTATCCTTTGAAAATTTTTCAGAAAAAATTTTTTCCTTATCATCAGTATTTTGTATTTGCCAATAAACCTCTGAAATAGCTGTCCCCTCTTCTTCCTTCTTCCCTACTCACTCCTGTTGGCCATATCCCCTCTTCTGTCTTCCTCCCATCCCCTTCATGTTTCAGTAGTGCCAAGGTGACCTCAAGGCAGCCTTGAGGCTTCGAGTCAATTTCATGTGGTACAAAGAATGTTCAGAGGAACAATCCGGTAGCCTTTCGATATAAAAACCAGTTGAAATCAGGAGCCTGATTAGCAAGAACCACTGCTACCAACAGCTTGCCAGTGGAGCCTCTGACATGGCTACCTTTCTTCAAAAAGCTGGTCCTAACAAACCTACCTGCTGGAGCTCCAGTGATTTCCCAGAGGTCCCTGCTTTCACTGCTCTTTAAATAGGAACTCATTTGGCTCCCTGCCCACTGTGCTGATTATGCATTGTTGATGGGGTTGCTGCGAAGCAGTTGGTGGCTTATTCTTGGGCTGTTTTTACATTTAACCCATTTACTGGCATTGATGTTGCCTCCAATTGTAGCAGTAACACTGGTGGTTCGGTCGCAAGCTGGCTGTTGGTTGTCATTCAGTGCTATTTACACCAGTGTCCCCCTCCCCTTCTTCCCTGTCCTCTTTGCCATGTGCCACAAACACCTTCCCAGGATGTTCAAGAGGGGCATCCTGGAGCTCATCATGTAATAATTTGTCTGTCTCGCTTTGTCTCTCTTTCCTCAGTCCCTTCTCATGAAATCTGTGGGGAAGGGATATTTTCTGTTGATGGAGCATTGAAAAGACCTAAGAAAAATACAGAGTCCTATGCCTCCAGAAGTACCAGTTTTATTGCACAGAGAAGGTCCACACTGAAGCCTGTTAGAGTGGGACTGGAGCAGTGCAGGAGGGTAAGGGGCATTTAAAAGGTCCATGGTGCTCTTCCTTAGCCTGGATAGAGTAGTCTGCCTTAGTCAGGAGTGTAATTGTTCTCTGAAACCAGAGCCCTGGGAGAAGTCCATATCCAGCCTGTCAGTTGCATAGACAAGAGAGCCTCCCAAAATGACCTGTAACCTATTAAAAATGAAGTCAGTTTTAGGACACGTGTGGATGAAACAAGAATGTTTTTTATTGCCCAAGTTCTGGAGGAAAACTCCTGAAAATTTATCCATCAGCCATGATGTAAGGGCCCAACATTTGATTACAGAGATTTAGGCAGCATTGTTGCATCTCCAGAATAATTAATCATTAGGATTACTGAGCAATCCCTGTAGCCTGAAAAGATATTTCATATTTAAAGCCAATCACCAAATTAAAAACACAACAAAAATTAGCACTGTTTTGTAGTCCTTAAGAATTTTTGACAATATTTTGAATTACTCTTCGATGGATTAATAAAAACTACTAGTGCTGTCCCATAGAGGCTTTTATACTTTGGTTTCTGGTGGCAGTTAGAATCAGGGTGAGCCCATGTTGGAGAACCGCTTGCTATTATTATAGTTTGGAGACAGCAGAGCAGGGTTCCAGAAAGCACTTCCTGTTTATCCAGTACAGATCAGATGGAAAGTCCTGGAAGGCTGGTGTCTCAAGAAATCACAGGAAATACAAATTCCCCTTATTCAGAGAAGAATAATTACAGAAACTTTGTTGAAGACCACTATCTTTACTTTTTCATCAGGTATTTATTGACAGCATCTATTGGTTAGTTTCTACTGATCTCTGTAACCCGAGATTGCAAATGGGGGAAGAGTCCTAAGACATCTCTTAGACTGTGAGTTTCCTTCTATCTGACCTAAACATGTATGTGAGGGGCAGACCCTTAAGCCTGACATACAGTCTCAGTCTGAAGCTACAGTCATGACGCTTGGCAGAAGAATGATTGAAGAACTCAGTAGCTGTAGAGTAGTGTGGAGAAGGCAACACTTGAATCAAATGTTGATCTTCTTACTTGTGGAACCAAATCTGTTTAAAAAATGGGCCACTGACCTGTTAACAGATAGCTTTGTCAGGACTTAATTTTTGTCCTTCTTAACCTAAAGCCACATACAGTCCTGAAAAGCTAGTTAATAAGAACGGGCTCAGCAGCCTGACAGACCTGTTCCGGTCCTAGCTGTGTAACTGACCTGAACAGACCTCACGTCCCTTTACACAATGAGACGATCCCCTACACCAAGGAGCTCTGCAAGCTGCGTGCCACCTAGGGCAAGCTGTCCTTCAGCAGGAGCTAATGGGGCCATGACAGCAGGCAAGACCTGAAGTCCTAAGTCCTAAGAACACTTGGAGACGTTCACCGTCAGTTTCCACGTGAACCAGGCTGCTCGCAAATGAGTTGCTTTGACACAAGCCTTCATATAATGAATAATGTGCTTTTATTAGGTTTGCTTTAAAAGCCAGAATTGTAGTTCGTTCAGTTGTTCTAAATGCTAGCAGACCCCCATCTTCCCAGATGCCTCTATTTCAGCTGTCATGAATTGTTCAGTTGTTCAAGTGCTTCTCATTTTCTCTTGTAAGGAGAAGCCAAAGCAGCTTCCTGGAACAGTATTTAGAAACCTTTCAACCAACCAGGAACACTAAATTAGATGGATCATATTCCATTCCAGGCAGAATCTTTTTAGCATAGGTTTTTTTCAGTGCCCTAAATCTCATTTGAGATGGTCAACTATGTGGTACCTATGAGCATGTCATTTCTGGCTAGTCACACACCTCAAGCTGTTCACTGTTCATGCAGGGCTGATAGGCACGCACTAAATAACCCTCCCTCTAACAGGTTATGTGACTGCCGCTATAGCATGTCAGTAGCACTGCTTGGCTCCAGCCCATGCTGATGGACTGTTTGCTCCTCAACATGTCCTTCCCTTACTTGTACCCAAATCAGGATATTTGTGGCTAAAGGATAGTGTTGTTGATAGTATCATATAAAAAGAACCAGAACACTAGACAATTGAAGGGCTACCCCAAAATAGTAGACTAAACTTCTTATATTCAAGAATGATGACTTGCTCAGAAGCCTGAGGCAGGAGGATTGAAAATTTGACTCTAGCCTGGGCAAATTAGTGCCAAGTGAGACCCTGTCTCAAGATTTAAAAATATATAAATAAAAAAGACTGAGGAGGCAGTTTGTTGAGAAGGCCCTGGGTTCAGTCCCCAGTACCACAACAAACAAACAAATCACATGCACACACACACACACACACACACACACACACACACACACTTGTACAGATAAATAGTAGTAACAGAACTGCTTATGATCAAATGGGTTAAGGTTCCAGATTGATAATATAGCATATGTACTTACATAGCATGATAAACAATTCACAGATGCTTCAGTTAAACTTCTTCACTTACTTGCCCTAAGTCGAGGTGTCCTGGGCTTAGTAAGTCCCAAGACACAGTGTGCATTGGCCACCTTTGGGGTTAGTTGGGACACCAGTGGTCAGAAATGCTTGGGTTTAGACCAAGGTTAATTCATGAAAGTGATTATATAAAAATCACTTGTAGAAAATGAATTTTTTATGAGTAGTCTAAATAATAAGCTGTTTTATTAGACTCCTGAGAGTTTATATGCATTCACAATGATTAGATATTTTTAAGTTGCACTTTTCAGTTTGTATAGTGGTACTGGGGATCGAACTCATGACCTCACACTTGCCAGGCAGGTACTTATGCCACTGAGCTAAATCCCAGGCCCCAGTTTGTATAGTTTTTATTGTCTTCTTACTGTCCTTGTGAGATTGGACAGTAGAACTCACCATTAGCCATAAGTTGTCAGCAAAGAAAGAGTGACATGCATGAGACTAAATCTATTAAAAAAAAAACTTAATTTTCCCAGGGTCATATTAAGAGTAAGACCAGTTTGCCTTATTTTTCTGGCTTCTAATGCAGGCTCTTTTCATTTGCTCCTTTTTGTTTCCTTCATTAATAAATGTCACACTTTTCCTTAGTTGGCTCACTTTGGTGACTTCTTTGTTAACTTCCGGAAATGAAATAAATCAAATACAGTATTGTTCCCTGGTCTGGTTGTCATCTGGAAGATACCAGATAGGAGACACTAATAATTCTCATTTTCCAGGACAATTTACCACTTCACACATACAGCAGATTTCTTACAGAGAGCCGCTTACAGGGCGGCTCTGGGGATTGGAGCACTTGCTCATGATCTCCTGTGTCTGTTACCCAGATCCTCTGACTCAAATACTTTTGACCTTCTAAAATGATCACTTTTAGAAATCATTAGGTCTGCTAGAAAAACACGATAATTCTCCAGCTGCCACATTTCTTTGTCTTCCTCCATAGATTAAGGTTTGCAGAGCTCACACTGCCGTATCTGAATTAAAATATCAACAAATGCTCTTGAAACTGAGAAGAAAAAAATCTTTGATAGTTTCAGGCAAGAACTTTGAACCTAGTACTGAACTCAACCTTGAAATTAATTCATTCTACATTTTGGGGATCTCTACTAACTTATTTATATCCTGTTTTAAAATCAGTTCATTAACTCTGGCTTCCTGGTATTGATTTTTGAGCGTCTGCAGAGTGTAGATAGCCCTGCAGTAGATGCCTGCTTTCCTGTTAGGATTTTGGTTCAAGTGCTCAGTGCCCTTTGTCATCCTTCTGTTTCCTACAGATGCTGATTCTTGTAATTGTGGGCATGATGTAATCTATTTATTTATTTTTGATGACATAATTTAAAGTCTGCAAATTACCAATGATGCAAATATGATGACCTCCACAAGTATAGGTTTCCACCTCCAAAGTCCCAGTTAGTTACCTCTTGACATCTCCCCCAGAAATCAAGGCGGTGGAAGAGTAAGCGCGAGGGTTCAGACTCTGGCAATCGACCCATCAAGGCTGCTGGGAAGGTCGTCATCCAGGATATCTCATGCCTCCTTCCTGTCCACAAGTCTTTAGGAGAACTGTACATGTAAGTTCAAGACTTTAATTATGCTGTGCTTATTTCTTAGGATTGGCAAAGCTTTTTATTTTGGGCTTTTTCCCCCCAATATTAGAATGTTTTCTTCAAAAGCAATTTTAGGAGAAGCCCAATGTATTAGCTTTCTGTTGCTCCATCACAAACTACTGCAAACTTATCAGTTTTGGACAACATACATTTCTTACCTTTTAATTTCTGTGGATCAGAAATCTGAGTGTGCCTTCACTATAGGTCTCACCCAAATGAAATCACGAAATTGGCCAAATGGCGGTCTCTTCTGATGCTCAGGGTCCTCTTCTGAACTCATTCCGTTGTTAGAATTCTGACTCTTGCATCTGTAGAAGGCTTCTATGAATGTTGTCTTCCTTGATACCACAGGAATAGCTTACAGACCCTTCACTTGCCTCCCTGCCTAGGTCAGGCCCACCCAGCATATACTGCCTTGGAACAAATTAAGAGCCAACTGATTAGTAATACAATCAGATGTGTGTTTTCCTGTCGGTATTCACTGATCCCACTTGAATTCAGAGGAAAGGGATTGTGTGAGGTGTATATGGCAAGAGGCAGAAATTTTGGGGAGCATTTTAGAATTCAGCCTCCCACACCTAGCATGTAAAACAGACCAAGCACAGCTATTATAGTTGAGGGGAAGTGGGAGATATGTGAGCAACATCAGCTTGTGGTTCCCCACAGTCCTTCCTTCCTGAACTTGAACACATAATAAAAAGATTTCTTGTGTAGGACACACACAGCACAGTACACTTGGTGTAGAAATCATAGTCATTGTTACCCATACTTAAATCCCTTAGACCTTGAGAATGCCACAGAAAAGCTAGTTAGAAAATTACTGTGTGAGTATGGCCTCTTTTCTGAACTTCATAGTGGTTAGGAATTTCACCTTCCCCAAGCAGGAACCCACAACCCTACTAACTTCAGCTCTAGCTAAGCCTCTCCCCCACGTCAGATGGACAGGAGCTTGAGGCCAGTGCAGAATAAAACACTTGGAGTGACAACCAGAGAGGCAGTTTTTAGTGGGGACTTAAGGAGTTTGAGTGGAGAGAAACTTTTTTACTCTTTTTGAAAATTTTCAGATTGAACGTGAATGATATTCAGGAAACATGTCAGAAGAACGCCACTTCCGCCATGCTTGTTGGGAGGAAGGATCTTATCCAGGTACTGTGCATCCCTTTGGGTGGAGCTCTGGGTTTTCTGTAAGAACAGGTTGTTTTCACTTGGTAGTTACGGATCGGCAACATTTCAAGATGCATTTTTTATTTTGCAGTTCCTTTCCCTTTCTCTTTACCAACCTCTAGGCCTAGAACAGCTTCCCAAAGCCCCTGGATATTTTGCTTATGTGTACAATACTTAGTTGCAAAGATCCTAAAACAATTACTGGATTTTTTTTTTTTTTTTTACTATATCTCTCTTCTATTCCAGCACCCCAGTGATTGTTACATACATAAATTTGGTAATATTTGTGTCTCTACCATTTGCACCCTCAATTCTTCGTTTTGTTTTGTTTTGTCTTGTTTTTGGTACCAAGAATTGAACTCAGGACCTTGCACTTGCCAGGCAAGTGCTTATGCCACTGAGCTACATCCCTGGCCCCTCAATTCTTTATTTTTTTTAAACTTTAAAGAATATTTCATAAAATATTTACCAAAGTGTTCCTTTAGCAAGAGATGTTCAGTTTTAAAGTATGATTTAGTCTTAACAAAATTTAAATTGCCTTCATCTTTGGAGGAATGTGGCAGTATATTAAAGCAGGCTGCTCCCGTAAGTCTTTTAAACAGCTTTATTGCAATGTGGTCTGTATATCATGTAATTTACCCATTTCAAATGTACCAGTCAGCCACTTTTAGGATATTCAGAGTGGTGCAGCCATCACCACCAACAGCTCTGGAACATTTTCATTACCCCCCCAAAAACCCTGTGCCCGAGTGTCACCCCTCAATACTTTGTTCCCCCAGCCCTGAGCACCCACAAACCTACTTTCTGTTGCTACCGCACTCATTCTTCAGTGTGAGAATTACACTGAGCAATGGAAATTACTAGCAATTGCTCGATCAGCTCAGTAATTTGCCCTATAACTCTCCAAACATATCAGCGCCAAGCCTTTTCTTTGTGTTTTAAGGCCCCAGCCATTAATTTTTATGAACACTAAAAAAGTAAGTTGAGGGGCTGGGGATTTAGCTCAGTGCATAAGCACCTGCCTTGCAAGCAGGCACCCGTGAGTTCGATCCCCGGTACCGATAAAAAAAAAAAAGTAAGTTGAGCAGGGAATGGCGGCACACGCCAGTAATCCTTGCACTCAGGAGGCTAAGGCAGGAGGATTCTTGTGAGTTCAAAGCAAGTCTGAGCTACATAGCAAGACTCTGTCTCAAAAAAATAAAAAATGAGTTTAAAAAAAAAAAAAAACAACTTGGGCTAATAGCAACAGTGCAGAATTTATAGCAGAAGACATAGATGCAACTGGCTTCCTAGCAGAAGCAAGTTCTCTTAGACTCACCTTGGAGTGTGTTTGTAAAATGAGAACTGTAAGAATAATTTCCTCATAGGTTGTCTAGAAGATTGGCGAATGCAAATAGTAAGGTGGGCCCAGGGCTCATGTCTGAAAAAATCATTTCCTGAGGAAAACTACTTCTCTAAGTTTTTTGTTTTTGGAGTTTTCAGTCCTTTTCTGGCAGAGCTGACTTGGAAGACCAGGCCAGGCCAGGCCAAGTGAAGTGGGAAGACTCGTGGCTTTAGACAGGCCGGCCCAGCACTGTTTTGTTACGGGAGGCTCCCTCAGCTTTCGGAACCTTAGGGTGCTTGACCCAGAATGGAAGGGAGCCTCAAATCTCACTCTGAGAACTAACAAGACAGTGTCTGAAGCCTCATCAGAGAAGCTGGTGGCAGGGAAATGCCGCTGTGTGTACAACGACTGCTGCTGTTCAGATGATCGTCCTTCGTGCCATGATCCTGTTTACAGGGACAAGAAATGGCATTAGTGACACTTGAAGAATTTTTTGTTGTTGTTCTTTATACTGTGTTGAAGATGGTGTTTACTGTTTTTTTAAAAGCTCCAGAAATAAAAGCAAACATCACTTTGTTGAAGATATTTAGGAAATATTTGTTGTGAAGGGAAGCAGTAACATGGCTAAGAATCGGCCAGGGTGGAAAACCTGACCTCTCGCAGAAACCTGTTAACTTCACCATTCCTGTGGGTCACTGATTAGAAATGAGTGCAAAGTTCCAGTTTCTCTTTAAAATAATACTTGTATTTCAAGTATGCTGGCCCTGCATAATTTCATTGATCTTGCATGTCTGATATTTCTTTTCACTTTTTTTTTTGCTTATTTTTTCTTCTTAGATCATAAATTCCTTGATTCAAAATTCGTGTATTTTTCCTGTTGAGCTTTACACAAAATCTAGGATAGTGTATCGGTTAGTGGGTATACAGTGATGTGTTGCTGTTGTGAAAGATTTACCAAAATTGGATTTTTAAAGGTATTAGGGGGAGGAGGCTTTGGTTATGATGTGGTGCATTTAGCATGAGCCTTGGGTGTAACATTTACTGGGCATTAGTGTTTGCTGACAGTTCCAAACCCCATCAGATTTCAAGTTTGAGATACTCCTTAAATGTGGTGACCGCAAAAAAAGCCACATCTGTTTAGTCCTGGCCTACTCTTTTTTTTTTTTTTTGTACCAGAAATCGAACTCAAGACCTTGCACGTGCCAGCAGGCACTTATGCCACTGAGCTATATCCTCACCCCTGGCCTAACCTTTTTTAACTACAGAGAATATATGAAAACTTTTGTAATGAAAACAGTACTTTTTTATTTTTTGGCTAAGGAAGGACAGATCTTAGACATTATACAGAAAGCACTTCTTTGCTCCTTGCCAAGCCAGTTCACTAATCAACAACAGAAAACATCATGAGCTATTGGTTGAACAGTTAATCCCTCAAAGTGATTTTACACTGTGTCATTTCCCTGAAGTTTTCTTAACAAAAAATTTAAAGTTAATGTTTCTCTGACTTTTTAGTGCACACAGGTCCCCTGAGGGTCTTGTTTACAATGCAAATTCTGATTCACTAGGTCTGAGCAGGACCTAAAATTCTATAAGCTTCCTACTTTGGGTGCCTTTCAGATGCCAGACTTCTGGCTGTAGATGGAGGACAAGTGACACCTTTCTTAACTTCTGTTTCTGTCCTCCTGTCCTTGAGTGTCTCTCTTCCATCTCTCCAGGTTTGGTCACTGGCTGCGGTAGCTACAGACCTTTGCCTTGGTCCGAAATCTGATCCAGATTTGGAAACCCCCTGGGCACGGCATCCTTTTGGACGACAGCTGCTGGAGTCCCTGTACGTTTTGAGAACTAAAAGTGAGGGAAATGAGTGATGCCAATTGTAGGTCTGTAAATACATGAGATGTCACTGCCTAAGAAAAAAGAACAGAAGCCTGAGAAACGAGAGGAAGAAGTAGGACCTTTTCTTTGGGCTCTGAAGTAACCTCTGTGCAGAATGAACTATTAGAGCAGGAGGAACTATAGCCATATTTGTCGCTTATGGCAAGGGTTTGCGACCATGCAAGCTTTTGTGTCTCTAGAGACTCATGCGTTGGTCTGTAGATCACAGGGTGCTAGAGATGAGAAGTTTCTTCTTGGCAGTGGGATTTGGTCCCTGGTAACAGATCAGAGGGTTGCGTGTTGATGTTTGTGTTCTCCCAACACAAAGATCTTTTCACCCTCTTAAGCAGCTCATGAAAACATTGAGTTTGTGTTCGATTTATTGCACTGAAATATTGTGAGTTATAATTATAATATGCAGAATAATCCACCACCAGTAAGACTTTTGGCTCTCTGTGAGCATCAAGGCTCAGGGTCTGGGCAAGGACCTTCCTGTCCCTCAGGTTGAGGTTTGCTTTTCTTTTTTTTTGGCTTTTTCCTTTTTATCGGTACCAGGGATCAAACTCACGACTGCCTGCTTGCAAGGCAGGTGCTTATGCCACTAAGCTAAATCCCCAGCCCCAAGATTTGCTTTTCTTGCTTACTGAGGCCAGGCCTGGGACATCTGCTCCTGTCCCGTTGTCTCATCCTTAATGCAGAGGTGATAATGTAACTTACATAATTCACACAAGACTCCATTGCGATAGTGTATATGAAAACACCTACGAATATTAGGCACTGAGTGTTAGGAAGGCACATTGTTTTGTGATAGAGGCAAAAACCTCCTGAACTGTAACTCACAGTCTAGCATAGTAGTCCTGAAAGACAAGGGGACTAGAGTGCCTAAAAGATACAAATCTTGTTTGTCGATCTTATTTAGTAGTTCATATGTGTGCCAGATGTGATGGCACTTGCATGTAATCCCAGCTATCCCAGAGGCTGAGGCAGAAGGCTCTCAAGTTCAAGGCCAGCTTGGGCAATGAAGTGATCCTCTGTCTCAAAATTTAAAAAAGAAAAATCTAAAAAGGAGTGCAAGTATAGTTCAGCAATAAAGTGCTTACTTAACATGCATGAGTCTGTGAGTCCAATTCTTAGTACTGGAAAAATGGAAATGAAAGGAGTCATATTCATTATTCCACCTGCACAGAGGATGGCCTGCGCCTCCCTCTGCAGAGGCCTGGTGTTCTCTGGGTGAGCACCTAAGGCTTTAGGTCACATGAATGGCACATGTGGGAGTGGCCTGGAGAGCAGTGTGTCTGCCCCAGGGTTGGCTGAGAGCATGCAGTTTACTGCTCACGCAGACGTCTGGCTGGCTAGTCTGTGGTTCATGGGAAGCTGCATCTAAGTCGGCACCCAAGTCTGGGTGCCAACTAGAGTTTTCAGAATAGATACTTAGTCCATTTGTAATTTTCCAGTACCCATTATTCAAAAAAAAATTGTAGCCAGACTCACAGTAGTCAGATGCAGTATCCAAAAGCCCCAGTTCCAGGAAGGATTGTTGAGGCACATCTTGCCACGTGGCAGTGTCCGCTGTGACTATAACTGTTGTCCTCCCTCTATCCCACTCTTCATTTGTACTCTCCTCATGCCCGCATCTTCAGGTTGGCGCATTACTGCCGGCTCCGGGATGTTCAGACCTTGGCGATGCTCTGCAGCGTGTTCGAAGCCCAGTCTCGGCCTCAGGGGTTGCCAAACCCCTTCGGGTCTTTTCCTAACCGCACTTCCAATCTCATGGTGTCCCACAGTCGATATGTAAGTATGTGCCTTTTGGGTTTGCACCTGTTGTTTTCCATAACGTAAACTTGGATGTGCAACCACATTCTGATGCTGGTCCTGTGTGTCCCTTCCCACCTAGCCCAGCTTTACCTCCTCGGGATCCTGCTCCAGTATGTCAGACCCAGGCCTCAGCACCGGTGGCTGGAACATAGGTTGGTTTGGAATGATGCTGCCTGTGCTGGGTATTGGTCCTCTAGATGCTATGTGCAAGTCGTGTATGTATAATCTGTCTCAGTCACTTTCCTGTCACTGGAACACAATACCCGATGCTTGTAACTTAAAGGAGAGGCTTATTTTAGGTCATAGTTTTGGTCCATGATCAGCTGACTCCATGGCAAGAAGGGCATGGTGGAAGGAAAGCTGCTCTTGTTGTGCTGGCCAGGAGCAGAGAGAGAAGAGAGGAGCTGAGAAGGGAGAGAAACCCTTCCAGCCTACACCCCAGTGGCCACCTCCTAACAGCAAGTTCACTCGCCTTCCGAAAAGCCCAGCGTCTGAGCAATTGAGGCTCTGGGACCAGGCCTAAACCATTACATAATCTTTAGCCTGTGCATATTCTCCACGTTTTCCTTTGTTTTTCATTTCTTTCTCAGTGTAGTGTGATAGGCTTACTGTTGCCAGGAAGGCCTGGCCTTGCAAGTTGAATGGACCATTTTCTTTTTTTTTTTTTTTTTTTTTTTTGATACTGGGGATCGAACTCATAACTACACACTTGCAAGGCAGGCACTTATGCTGCTGAGCTAAATCCCCGGCGCCTGAAAGGTCTGTACTTTGCTGGGTTGCTTTGCATCTTATAACCAGGAAAAATTGATGGTGAGGCTCACTATACTTCACCCCAGAAACCTAACCATGATTCTTTTTTCTTCATGTGCCCTTTTCCTGGCTGTTTTCAGTTTAAAGAAATAGAGTTCAGAAAATAAAGCTGATTCTAATCCCAGCTGGCCATAAAGTCTGTTCCTTGAATAGATACCTTTGTGTTTCCTGGGTTTTTGAAATTTCATTTTCAAAAATGATCTTAATTTTCTTGATTATAAAGCTTACATATGAGCCAGGCACTGTGTTACTTCCCCCTATTCCCAGCTACTCAGTAGAGAAGGGCAGGATGATCACTTGAGCTCATGAATTCAAGACCACCCTGGGCAATATAGTAAGAGCTTGACTCCTAAAAAATAAATAAATAAAAATATTCCCAATGGAAAAAACAAACAAACAAAGTGTTAGAGAAGAAAATAGTAATTATTATCTGTCACTTAGGAGTAGCATCCATTGACATTCTTATGCTGGTTAGCGTTCTGTTGCTGTGACAGACAAATACCATAGAGGAGGTGAGGTTTATTTAGGCTCATGGTTTTAGAGGTTTCAGTTCATGGTCAGCTGGCTGTTAGCACCCTGGAGAAGGCAGAAACAAACCTTGGTGGGGGAAACATTGGTGCTTCAGACACCTAGGGAGAGAGATCCAGAGAGGAAGAGGCCATGGACCAGATTTCGTCCCCAGGTCCCACCCTTGTGAACCAATGACTTCATCTAGACCCCACCTCTTTCTATCACCTCCTAATAAAGCCACAAATGATGATTTCACTGGTGGGTTAGCCCACTGATGAAGTGAGAAAGCGCATGAGCTAATCATTTCCCAGAATCCTGTCAGTAACTAAGCCTTCAACTCAGCCTTTCTGGAAAGATCCCAACCATAACAATTCTAGAACATTTTCTTCCAATCTGGATGTGAGAGTGTGCATGTATGTCCACACATGTGCATGGGTATTTATTCTGTATGTACCACTTCATATTATTTTAATTTTATCAAGGACATTTTCTCAGGTCACTTAAGTCTATAAGTAATCACTGCGTAACATTCTATATCACTGTACCATAATTTGCTTCATTGTTACGTGTGCTTAGTACCAAGTTCCCTTAGTAATAACACCTGGACAAAGAGTTCTGTTTAGGTATGTTTCTCAGTCTTCAGTCTGGTCTGTTTTTCTGCTAGGGAATCAGTTGCACACACCCTGTAGTGTGAGGTTTTTATGCCTTCTCTGATGCCCCTGTTCCCATCCCCTTTGCTTTCTGCAGCTGGGAGAGAGGCTGAGCACGTGTCCTCCCCGTGGGGAGAGTCTTCTCCAGAAGAACTCCGCTTTGGGAGCCTCACCTACAGTGACCCTCGGGAGAGAGAGCGCGACCAACACGACAAAAATAAAAGGTAGGGGCTGGGGATTTAGCTCAGCGGCATAAGCGCCTGCCTGGCAAGCGTGAGGCTGTGAGTTCAATCCCTGGTACCAAAAAAAAAAAAAAAAAAAAAATTAAAGAATAAATAATAAATAAACAAAATCAAAGGTAGTCACCTTGGGGGTTAGCTGCAGTTCCAGAACTGGATTCTCCAGAAGCAGGCCTCTTGCTTTTAACAAAGATAATATTGAGTGCCATGTGGTAACAAGCTTTTTGCTTTTTTCCCTCCCTCTCTCCTGTTACTTTCTTTCTCTTCTTCACTTTCTATCCTCTTTTTTTTTTTCTCTGTCTCTCCTCTCTCCCCTCTCTCCACCCAGGGATGGAATCCAGTGCCTTTGTGCTGAACTGCATCCTTACCCCTTTTTAAATTTTTTAGTTTTGAGACAGGGTCTCACCAACTTGCCCAGGCTGGCTTTGAACACACAATCTTTATGCCTCAGCACGCCGCTTAGAGTGCTGGAATTGCAGGCCTGCACCACCACCACACCCAGCTTGAGCTTGTTTCTTCTTTAAGGAACTAATAAGAAATGTTTTCAATTTCATTCAGGCTTCTGGACCCTGCCAACACCCAGCAATTTGATGACTTTAAGAAATGCTATGGAGAAATCCTCTACCGTTGGGGTCTGAGAGAGAAACGAGCAGAAGTGCTGAAGTTTGTGTCCTGTCCTCCTGATCCTCACAAAGGGATCGGTGAATATGAATTTCTTCCTTTTCCTGTCCCTGGCTGAAAGGTTCTGTCATTTCATGTGTCATAGCCTCAGACTTGGAATGCAGTTTCAGCTTTTCATGATCAGCAGAAATTTCTGGAGCATCTTGAATCTCTTTCGAGCTTCTGAAAACCCTTGCATTTCATAGCAAGATTAACTTTTTGTTGGAACAGAAGTAGTTTGAGGCCCAGAACTGGCTGGAAGGAGAGCTGTTTGTTCACTTACTTGGCTAATGCATTTCAAGCCCCGCTCAGTGCTCACGCATTCCTTCCTCTTGTAGAGCTGATAGCCGAGTGGGGAAAAATTAAGTAATTACAAATCACAAGAAATATTAAAGAAGAGAAAAAACTGGTGTTGGGACAGGGAGAAGGGAGGAGAGGGTTCCAGGAGATGGTTGGAGTGTACTGGGGAGGCCGTGCCAAGGGGCTGAGATCCAAGGGATGAGAAGGAGCCACCGGCCAGAGTGGCAGGAAGAGCAGCACTGTGTGTAGGGCTGCAGCCCGCAGAGAAGTGACTCGTCACTTTGGAGGGCTAAAGGAAGGCCAGTGGCTAGAGCACAGCAAGTGAGAAGAATGGAATATAATTAGAGTGGGTAGCTGCACGCAGTGGTACACACCTGCAATCCCGGCATTCAGGAGGCTGAGGCAGGAGGATCATGAGTTGGAGGCTAGAATGGGCTACATAGCAAATTCAAGCTGGCCTGTGCTAGGTAGGAAGACCTTATCTCATAAAAAAATAAAGAGGGAGAGAGAAGGGGCATAGAGCTGCCGTTGGGCAGGAGGAATAACTGCTCATGTTCTGTAGCGTACTGGGGTAACTGTGGTAGGAAATAATTAACTGAGTATTTTAGAATAGCTCGTAGGATTTTGAATGTTCTCAACACAAAGAAATGATGAATGTCTGAAGTAATATGCCAGTTACTCTGAGCTGATCATTATACATTGTATTAGTGGACAGTGTGAAGCGCCACATTGTACCCCAAAACTATGTCAATTAAAAACATTAGTAAAATGTTTTAATAGTAGCATAAACAAGAAAACCCTGGGTTATAGGATATTAGGGCCATAGCAGGCAAGGCTTTGTAGGTTGTGGGGAAGAACTGGGGTTGTATCCTAACTTCAATAACAAGCTTCAGAGGGTATTGAGAAGCAACACCCTAAAAACGTGAAGAGCAACACGCTTTGGTTTCCCCTTTAGGAGGTTCACCTGGGCTGTTAGGAAGGAAGGACTGCAGGAAGGCAGAGTAGAGGCAGGAAGACCATTTGGAGGTCGGCAGCCTGCTCTGAGGACGTTCCTGGAGCAGGGGAGAGATGAGTAGATTAAAAATACATTTGAGAGGTCGGCTCAGCGTGACTAGCTAATAAATTGGACATAGGACTGAGGAAGGAAGACAAAGCTTAGCTGATAGCTAGATCTCCTACTGGAGTAACCGGGCAGGTTACTGTTTTCTAAGAGAGAAAAGACTGCTTAATTTGGGGTCTACAGAGGTGCAGGAGGTAGGCACCACAGAAGTGTTGTGGGCTGTGGGATACGAGTGGGGCTTGGGAAGAGCTGGAGCAGGAGCCTGCATCGGAGCTGGGCAGATGGCTGGGTTTACCTGGGAGCCAGAGGTGAGAACACAGCTTGGAGTGAGCCCGGGTGACAGCCTGGCCGCCCACCTGCCTGTGTCTTGATAGGAGTGAGTGCCTGGAGCCAGGGCCAAGGGGAAGAGCCAGAGATAGAGCCACCAAATGAGACACCAGTGAGTTTGAGGAAAAGCTAGACTGTGGTGTGAGTTCTCTTAAGCAAAAAGATTTTTTGAAAAGGAGGAATGGAAGACTGCCAGAGAGAGTGGCAGACTCACCTCAGTCCTCAGACTCACCCAAGTGTCTGTACAGAGCTTTTCTGAAAAGGCGTCACTGTGTGAGAAGTAGCGTCTTCAGTGAGATGTGGGCTCTTAGGTGGCTGGTTTTACAGGGCCTGCTAAGCCAAGCCTGACCAAGCAGTCAGGAAGCACAAAGGCCCGCTGCAGAATCCCCGTGCAGTTCAGGAAGCAGTGGTCCCCGGTCCCTCTGGGAGGGGCTTGAAGGTGGGATTGAAAGCCAGGGTTTTATTTGAAGGCTTTTAGTCTGCCCAGGTCTCCCCACCTAGTTTGCAGAGCAGGGTATCACTCCTCCTGTACCCCAGCAGAAAGCTGGAAGTTTATTCCCCAGAGAAGGTGGACACTTGCCTATGATGAATGGGTCACCAAGTCCCCACAGTGATGAAGGGAGGAAGACAGGAAGACAGAGGCAACCTCAGAAGCTTTCAGAGACAAAACGGGTCACGTACGAAGGATGAGGACAGTGGATAGCATCATACCTCTGAGGAACAGTTCTGGAAACTAGAAGAGAGTGTACCAGTATCTCCAAAATTATCTAGAAAATGAGCCTTGCTGGATTCTGAACCCTGATCATCAAGCACACGTGAAAGTGGCCCTTTAGCTGAAGTAAAAAGGAGGACTAGATTAAGCACAGGAAGCGAAGGGGTCAGATGTTGATGGAGGCGTTACTGTGGCAGCCCTGGATAGACAGCCCTGTCCCCACTGGGGCCACAGGGACTTTGGTTCCAGCGACAGCAGATTGAAAATAACATACCTAGTCTGTTGCTGTGTTCAGTGTATTTATAGAAGAATCAGATATTTGAGGGAGAGTTTGGGGATGAATTATTGATAAGTACATAGCAAACTAAGCACATAAAAAATGAGACAGTTACTAATTCTGGGAAAAGCAAAATGTGCAGGAAAGGAAAAGTGTCTTAGTACATAGGTGAATGATGTTTACCTGGGTGAATAATGTATAAATAGAACACAACTCAGCCAAAACAGAACTGGGGGGAGGACCAGGAGCAGGTGGGGAGTGTGGCTGGGGAGACAAGTCAGGGTGGCAAAGGAGTGGCTACTGTGGAAAACCATGTCAGTAGGTAGTGCGTACAAATTATACCTAGGGAATAACTTCAGAAATAGGCTGGTTCAAGATAAGAAGGTAAAAACAAAAGAAACATTTCAATGAACTGAAAAGATTTCTTCTAGGGAGTAATGAGGTGTGAGATATCAGGGAAAGCTGGGTGTTGTAAGATGCGTAGAATTACTTGACCTTTTGGTGGGGAGTTGATACAGAGTCCTGCTGTGTAGTCCAGGGTGGCTTTGAACTCACTGTGTAGCCAGGCTGGCCTCAGATTTGTGCTAATCCTGGGTCAGTCTCTCAAGTGCTGGGATTCCAGATGTGCACCGTCATTCGGCTCTTGACTCAAGTTGTGTGTATAGATAGTTCAGTTTGAAAAACCAAATGAAGCAGTACCCACATTTAGACATTAAATAACAAAGATTAATTTAATATGGTGTATTTTAGTACATGTACTTGGAGAAATTCAAAGATACAAAATGGCGTTTGAGCAACATATGTTTTCAGAGCTACAGGAAAGTGTATCAGGAAGAGATTAATGATAGTCTGGAACAATTTGTCTTTTAAAATTAGTTTTTAGGAAAACATAAATCACAGAGGCAGAGAACTGAGGTATCAGTCGATCAGTCAGTTTAACCCTTACTGACACCAAATGTTTAATTCTGTGGGAGTACTGAGACATAGGTGTGGTTTGGGGTGGGAGCAGGAAGTCTGTAATCCCATCAGTGTTTGAAGCATAAACCCATGCAAACCTAAATGATAGTCAGGGATTAATAGCATGAAACTGGATGTGGAGGCAGGAGGATCCCAAGTTCAAGGCCTAGGCTACCTATCAAGTTCAAGGACAGCCTGAACTTAAGTCTCTCCCTTCCTCCTTTTGGTGGGTACAGGGTATTGAACTCAGGACCTTGAGTTTGCCAGCAGTCTGTGCACCACTTAGCTGTGTCCCTGGCCCAACTGTTTCATTTTAAAACAAACAAATAAACAAAAAGCAAGAATGAATAGTACATCCTATAGAAATAAAAATAATATTGTAAATTGGGTGTAGTGGCACATGCCTGTAATCTCAGTGCTTGGGAGGCTGACACAGGAGGATCCTCATGAGTTCAAGGCCAACCTGGAGCTCACAGCCTTCTCCCTCTCTCTCTCTGTCTCTGTGTCTCTCTCTCTGTCTCTCTCTCTCTCTCTCTCTCTCTCTCTGCCTCTGTCTCTCTGTCTGTCTCTCTGCCTCTCTCTCTCTCACACACATCACAAGGTTTCAAAAAGGAGGCAGGAAGATTGTAAGAGATTTTTAGACAAAAACATTAAGAAAGCTACCTTTTATCAATAAAGCTTTACCGTGTAGCCTATCCAGACTTTAGAGGAATTTGGCTTTCCAAATCTGGGACACAGCAGCATGTTTTGTTTGCTTTTTAATTTGTCTTTTATGCATTGCTGGGAATGGAACCCCAAGCCTCCCATATATGCTAGTCAAAGCTTACTACCACTCAGCTGCATCTCCACCCCTTCTGAAGAATTCTGAGACAGGGTCTTGCTGCCAAGGCTGAGTCCTAAGTTACAGGCTGCATCACCACCATGCTGGCTGTTGGGTTTGGGAAAAGCTGCCCAGGACTCCCAGGGCTCCAGGGCCGTAGGGATGAACTGTGGTGGTTTTCTCTCCCGCCTTTCTTCCCTGCAAGAGTCATCCTGGATCTACAGCTTCTCCACAGCAAATTTGAAGGATAATGTTCTCACACACAGGAGGTTACATTCATTTAGGAGCTCAAGCCTTCACTTACTTGGAGAGCATAATGCTAGACAGACTATTCCTTTTTTAAAAAATCTAAGTTGGTTTTTGTTTTCTTGGTTTTCCACCCACGCAGTGTGTGTGATATGCTTGGTCATAGCAGTGGCAAAGGAGGGGAGTGCTTTGCCTTTTCAGCCTCCCCATGGGGAGAGTTCCTTTCTCAGCGATGCAGATCTGCCCATTTCAGTTTTGTTCAGCTGTTTTCTGGTTCCGTTTTTAAACTTAATGTCTTATTTATTTGGCTAGTTTTATTTACATTTGTGCCCTTTTGGTGCATGGTTAACTGACTGGTGTCACCTGCCTTTGGAGTTAGCTTCTGTCTGGAGGCTTTGTAAAACCTCAGAATCATAATTTGATTATTCTATGTGTTTCAAGTTCTCCCTTCCCGGGGCTGGAGATTTAGCTCAGCGGCATAAGCGCCTGCCTTGTAAGCAGGCAGTTGTGAGTTCGATCCCCGGTACTGATAAAAAGGAAAAAGTAAAAAAAAAAAACAAGTTCTCCCTTCCCCTTCCTATTCCCCTTCCTTCTCCTGGGAGTTTAACCCAGGGCTTTCACACTGAATTAATCCGTAGCCCTTTTTTTATTTTGAGACAAGTTCTCACTAAATCACTAATTTGCCCATGCTGGGCTTGAGTTTGTGATCTTCCTGCCTCAGCCTTCCGGAATGCTGGGGTTATAGGTACATGTACCACCACATCCAGCTCTGAAGTCTTTTATCGCTCTTCATTATTTGTCTGTCAAAGGCCAAGCATAACCCATTTCTCCTCTGCTAGTTTTCAGTTGAAAACCAATACTGTGCCTCTTACCTGCTGTCCCCAAGTTTGCCACTTTTCCTGGCCTATCAGCCAGGACAGCTCTGCTCATGTAAGGCTAGGAGTCCTAAGGCCAAGAATAGTTTTCTGAGAGGATCTACAGACTTTATGTCTGTGTATAAAGCCTCTTTCTCCTCCTAATAATGATTCATTAAACCCAATTAAATGACACTGGGATTCAAATATGACCTTTTGAGTATGACCTTAGCCATAAACTTAATTTATCCATTTGTATCATGATAAGGAGGTAGATTCTTATTGAACCTCTGCAAATAACTGTTTGTGAACAGGCAGTTTGTTTGACACTCAGCCATTGTTTTGAGCAGTAGTGTAGTTAAGGTCAGTCAGTAAAGAACTGTCCCTACGGAAATGCTGTTCCTAAGTCTTCCTGATGAAGTAGTGTTATACTCTACGTTAGGGTCTTTCTTTGGATGTTTTCCTTCTGACTTCTGGGAGACTAACTAGAACAAGATATGTTCACTTCAGTTTACATAAGTATAGTCTGTCTGTAGGAGAGATGAAGATGTGATATGTATATGTACCAATACTCCCCTCTCAATGAATGTGTTTATTTTCAAAAAAGTGAATATGCTTATCACATTAAAAATGTATCTCCCATTAAAATGAGGGTTAGAGGTGGAGAAAGTTAAGCAACATATCTATTAGAAAATAGACCGTTGGCCATAGTTAAATTTTTTTCATGAGTTTTATTCAGTCCTTAGTATTCTGTTATAAAAAGTGTCCCTGTTGGAAGGACAGAGGGGAGGAACCAAGTTTGGGCGATTGCAGAGGTGGCAGCGGGCAGAGGAAGGAGTCCCTGCTCCCATTCAGGGACTTCTGGTTCCTCAGGGAAGTGAGAGACAGCTGGAGAAGAGCGCTGAGGCATGCAGAGAAGCTCACAGAGGGACAGCCCCATGGGAACAAGTGAGACACAGTGTCACTGGTCGTGTGAAGCGAGACGCACTTCTTGATGGCAGGCCCTCCTCAAGGGCCACTTGGCTCCCCGGAACAGATGTGCAGTGGGCAGGGGACACAGACTTGCACATCTGCCAGCTCGTGCATTGCAGGAGGAGGAACAAGGAGTTGAGGACATTTGTAAAGAAGTGATTTTAAAGTCGGTCTTGTAAGCTAAGTGTAGTATTGCATGCCTGTCATCCCAGCACCCAGAAAGCTGAGGCAGGAGGATCGCCAAGCTCAGCCTAGGCAACTAAGCAGAACCATACCCCAAAATAAAAAATTTTAAAAGGACGCAGATGTAGCTCAGTGGGACGTCCCTGGGTTCAATGGAGGGAGTACCATGAAATAAATAAATAAAGCTGGCTGTGTAATTTCAGGTTGATCTCAGGCCAAGTGCAGCCAGGAAGGGGTCAGCAGAGTGCTGGGCCCCAGGGGGTTGCGTTTTGAAGATGCCAAGGCTCATGCTGAGGACTGAAGCAGATCCGGGTTGTGCAGAGGGGGGCTGAACCTCATAATCTCTTCCAAAGAGTAGGACCCATGCCTGGCAGAGAGATGGAACAGTTCGGATGTTGCCATCTCACCTCCCACCACTGGGGAGGCAGGCCGCAAGGTGGACTGGCTGAACCAGGTGCTCTCATCACTCAGGAGGCTGGGGCAGGAGGATCACAGTGCATTGGTGGCCAACCTATTGAGACCCCATCTCAAAAAAAAGGAAAGCAGGCTGTCAAGTGCTTTTACCAGTATGCTTTTTCCTGAAATGTTTTCAAGCTGTTCCATTCTTTCAGTGAACCACATGCCAGGCCCCTGCCAGCTGTGGGGCCAAAGGAGACAATGGGTTCCCACAGGCAGCCACCCCTCCGTCCTTGCCCTGCCACTGCAGTGCCAGTGGCTCCACATTAGGAGACTTAGCTGCACTGCAGAAGTAGTTCTGCTATTTTTTTTTTTATGTTGTTGTTATTGTTATCAGGATTGAACTCACAATCTCGCACTCACCACACAGGTGCTTATACTGCTGAGCTAAATCCCTAGCCCTTCTGCTATTTTTTTTAAAAAGTGCCAGATATGGTTATGCACAGCTATAATATCCCAGCACAAGGAGGCTAAGGCAGAAAGGAGTTCAGGGGCTGGGGATTTAGCTCAGCGGCATAAGCGCCTGCCTTGTAAGCAGGCAGTCATGAGTTCGATCCTTGGTACCGATAAAAAGGAAAAAGACAAAAAAAAAAAAAAGAAAGGAGTTCAAGGCCAGCCTGACCTACCTAGGGATACCCTATCTCAAAAACCAGAGAGAGGGAAAGGAGAACCACTGGCCTGACACAATCGCTAGGCGGTTGTTGTTCCTTCTGACAGTGCCCAGTTTCCTTGGTCTGAGCCAATCTCACAGTGCCTCTCGTTTTGCCCGTCTCCACCCGTCTGCAGAGTTCGGCGTGTACTGCAGCCACTGCCGGAGTGAGGTCCGCGGCACACAGTGTGCCATCTGCAAAGGCTTCACATTCCAGTGCGCCATCTGCCACGTGGCTGTGCGTGGGTCGTCCAACTTCTGCCTGACCTGCGGGCATGGTGGCCACACCAGCCACATGATGGAGTGGTTCCGGACCCAAGAGGTGTGTCCCACGGGGTGTGGGTGCCACTGCCTGCTGGAAAGCACCTTCTGAGCTTACAGACCTGAGCCTGGTGGAAATCCCAGAGGAACCGCAAATGCCACCAAACACCGTGCTAAGGAAGTCTCCAGATGCGGCTCATCCCTACAGCATGGGAGCAGGTTCCCTTTGGAGACTGTCGCCACCGCTGCATGCTCCCTGGGAGCCTTTGTGGTCTCTTATCTTTGGCTGCCCTGGTATGGGTGTCACTGGCTGAAGGGGAGGCCAGGGTCACAGAGCTGGACTCTCTGTCCGTTGAGGTATCACAGCGCCGAGTTTCATGGCAGGAAGCACCTGCCTGCAGAGCCAGTGTCAACCACCTAAGGTGAGAGACGTGTGCCACCAGCGGGCTCTGCTGATGCCAATGTAGAGACAAGGCAGCTACAAAAGAGTCTCCTGAGCCACAGAGCAGCGGATAGAATGTAATCGATGGGTGAGCCCATGACACGTGGGGCTTCAGAAGACACTGGCATTAGCCTTTAATAAACTGATGGGCAGTGGCCATCTGAAATAGGATACTGAAATGTAAACAGTGATGTACTGAAGGATTTCTAAGATGTATTTTTTTATCTCACCTCCAACTGGTTTCCCTTGACTAATAAAATTCTAGTAATTGTTTTTTTTTAAAAAAGTATATCTAGGTGAATCATTTTTTACCCTACTTATGATTGAAGTTAGCTATTTTGGATAGGCTAAAATTGATACTTTGCTTTTTAAAGGAAATGTTGATTCACTTTGGTCACCTGACAGGAGGAAGTAGACTTTGACAGTTAAGGTTCTGCCCAGTTCCAAGGGTCTTATAATTATTTTTTGTAACACAAGGAAGGTGAGATTTCATTGCAGCATTGGCCTGAAAGTCCCTTCTGCCTCAGTATAGACTGATGGAGGTCCAGGAGCACCTTCTTCTTATTTGGGCTCCTTTGCTAATATCACCCAGGCTTATCTGTGGTCCAAAGTCCTATGTCTGCACCATTTCTTTAGAATAATTTTCAACTCTTCACCTTTTTATGTGCAGAAAAGACAAATCCTCTTCATTTCTGTTGAAATCCCTATTAGAATTTTACAGTTCCAAATTGGCTAACTTAAGGAATAGAAATAACCATGTGTCCCATAATAGTAGTGTTGTATGTCACTGTGTGTCAAACTCCAGGTCAGGACTCATTAATGGATTGTGAAATCACTGCTGTGGATAAAAACCAGCCCTTAATGAAATAAGGTAGGAGAGAAATGATTAGGATGCCTTAACATAGTTAAGGTAAATAATGTTTTGCATAACTTTTTACAAGTGTGTGTGTATACAGAGTTGCCCAGGTGTGTCCTGGGTCATTATGTTAAACTCTTAATGAAAGTTGGACTCATTTAAACATTATCAAAACATCAGTTTAGACGATGTTTATACTCGTCCCCTATGCAGACACCATTACACAGGTAAAGGGCTTAGGTCCTGCAGTGAGACCAAAGACTTAACACTGGGCTCTGACCCGGGTGTAGGTGCTGGGGTAAGCAGCCAGGGTGAGGAGAGAGACCCCTGACTTCCCAATCTGGTTGAGCCCTCTCTTCCCTTGTTTGGCTTGTGGCTCTGTGACAGTGACCCTAGAATAAGTTAACTGATTGACACAGAGATCAAGGATCCATTGTGTCACTTTAGTGAATTCATATTGCAGAGAACAATCTTTTTTCCTGTTCCCTACTGCTCAGACTAATGCAAAAATCTGTCCCTGTGGGTCCCCATCGAAAATGGGATGTTTTTCTTAGTTTATCATTATCTTTCAAATCAGAAACATGTTCCTGGAGAGTATGAGGCAATTTTAAGTTTAAAACATTCCATAATGTCTTCTTTCAATATGCGAATATCTTTTGAATTTCTACATTGCCTGAACAAAAGTTATTTTTAAAAAAATTCGAATTTGAAAATATGGTTTGGATGGTAGCTGTCGTCCTGTGCACTCAGTCTCAGAATGGATTATTACAAATGCCTAGGTCCCTTTTGTTTGTTAGTAAAAAGGTTATAAACTGTGTTTCAAAGTGTCTTTGAGCTCAGCAAGGAAAACTGGGCCAGCAGACTTTTATTTGTGCAATAGAAACAATGGGTTGTTCAGTCAGTGTGCTAGAGAGAACAGGCCAAGTCCTCCAGGTGAGGACCAGGTTGAGTGTGTGTTCTCATCTCTAGAATGCCCAAAACCCAGATGGTGTGATGCTTTTCTCATTGACACCATATAGAATCTGCAGTTGTTTAAAAATGTTTCTGACTTTCATTTAATATAAAAATGCATTCGGGCTGAATTTGGCACATTGACATGCTGGGCATTGTGCCCCTTATTTGTGGCTCCCTCCATGGGCTGGCAGCAGTGAGGAGCAAGCCAGTGTCTTTCGGTGGCTTAAGGCAGCAGGAGCGTAAGGGACAGGAATCAGTCATTGTGTCTGAAGAAGATGAGGATCCCCTTGGGCGGAAGGGTGGGGGGAGCCATCCTTAGTTTCCGTGCAACAGAACGAAGAAACGTTGATTTTGTTCACTGTAGAAAAGTAGTTCAGAAACAGGATTATAAATTGTACTGCTGCTCTGTGGCTTCCTTTTTCACACAGTGCACATCCCAGGGGCAGCAGTCGGTATTATTCACATACCAAAGAACCAGATGCCAGGTGATAAAACACACTTTGGTTTTCTCATTCATCTTAGAAGCAAGCCAGTGTTGTTAGAGTCAGAAATAAATTTGCCCCATTGGTGTTCTGTCATACTGACGAATTTGGATCATCGTAGTATCACCAATCTGGGTTTTTGTGGTTTTTTTTGGTACCGGGGATTGAACTCAGGACCTCAAGCTTGCTAGGCAAGCGCTTATGCTGTTGAGCTAAATCCCTGGCCCCCAATCTGGAATTTTTTCCTTCAACTTCAGAGGACCTGGTTTTATTCGTCATGTTGTTTAGCAATGAGTGAGCAGTGGGCAAAGGTGAGCCATAAACATGTGGGCTGTGCCCTGCTGGAGGCGGGCTTGGATAGGAAGCTGATAGGGGTGGTACTGTGTCATAAAGCATTACGTACATACTAAGTTTATGTTAAGTGTTTATGTAAGTGCTGGCCTCCTGGAGAGGAAAGAGTAGCTGGTGAGGGCCGAGATGATCCAGAGAAAAAAGACTTGGCAGAGCAAGTTTGAAATGTTTTTCTTTTTTAATTGTTGAATTTTTTATTTTAATTTTATTAGTATATGTTTGCAATGCATAACGATTACATTCTTCTTGGGGAGATGGTACATGTGCACATATTGAATGGTAGGGTTTAGGCCACTTACAGTCTGCATGCCTGTAGTCTCAGCGCTTGGCAGGCTGAGGCAGAAAGATTGCTGTGAGTTTGAGGCCAGCCTGGCCCCCTAGTTCCAGGCCGACCTGAACTACAAAGTAAGATTGTCTCCAAAAAAGAATTTTTTAAAATAAAAGGTGTTTTCAATTGAGGGGCAATAGGGAGGCCCAGGAAGGGCTATGCCAGGGGTGGACAGGAAGACCCGGCACTGAGGGGAGAGTGAATAGGAGCTGATAACAGAGGCTGACAAGGAGGCAGGAGAGGCAGGAGCCCGAGTCTGGTGAACGTGGACACTGCCCCAAGGAGCCTAGGTTTTATCTGTAAGCCTGGGGTCTCAGTCTCTCCTGGACTCTGAAGCCACACCATTTCCTCAGTGTTGTGGTCTACATGTGAGCGTGTCCTCAAAGCCTCATGCACTCATAGGTGGGGCTTTGGAGAGATGATTGGGTCATGGATGTGTGATACTCGCGAGTAGATTAATCTGCTGGTGAGTTTATAGGCAATGGGATTTGGGAGAAGGTGGGTCACTGGGGCTGTGGCCTGGCAGGGTCTAGCTCCCTCCCTCCTCCCTTGATCTCTGTGTCCTCCCTACCCCGAGATAATTCTCTGCCACTGTCCTGTCTGGGAGCCAGTGGACAGTGGCTCACAGTTACAAACTGTGAGCTAAAATAAACCTCTCTTTTAAGTTGTTGAATATTTTGTCCCAGGGATGAGAAAAGTAACCAAAACACCCTCTTTCCTGTCCATTCGCCTACCCCTAAAGCCTGTGGGGCTCTCCAGGTCCCACCCACCCGCCTGGGCTGGTGTTAGGATGTGCAAGACAAACAGCTTAATCCCAGTCGTGCTGTGCTCTAATGCAGTGCATTTCTGGGTCTAAAATGTGCGGGGATTTCCCCCTGTGCTGTGCAGCTCTCCCCCACATGCCCACTGCAGATGGCATCGGATCCCACAGGTTAAGAGCTTGCTCCAGCAGGACTGTCCCACGGTCTCATGTCAGTCTCAAGTCCCACACTGGGACCTGCACTGCTGAGAAACTGACTGGAAGTCAGAGGTTTCCATGACGCCTTCCTCAGATTCAATTAGGAGCCTGGTGGGACCTGGAGACATTTACATTTTCCTGTTTATAAAGGATATTGTAAGGGCTACAGATAACCAGGGGGATGAAGAGTACACAATGCAAGGTAGGTAGGAGGGGGCCCTCATGCGCCGTCTTCTAGGCCTTCTCCGTGTTCCCCACCCTAGAAGCTCTCTGATTTCATCCTTTGGGTGTTTATGGAGGCTTGTTAGGTGGGCTCATTGCTCACATCAGTAGACTTAGTCCCCTCTCTTCTCCCTGGAGGTCGGGGAAGAGGTTGTAAGCTGCGACCCTCTAATCATACCCTGGCGACAGTCCCCATCCCTGGATTCCCCCTGTGTCGATGTCCGCTCCCGGCCGGCAGGAAGGACACACGACAAAGTCTGGCAGTGGACAACCTTTTCTTTTATTTTCCTTCTCCGTACAGCCTGCCCTGGGATCGCTCCCAGCCGAAGCCTCCTTTGGTCCGCTCCCCACGGCTCCTTCTGGGCTTCTACTTCCGGGCTTCTTCTTCCCCCCCAGGGGTGGCACCAGTATATATACGGATACAGTGTCCAATCATGTTAAAGTAAGCAAGGCAAGCTGATTGGCTAACATCATCAGTTGCCAGGCAGACTATATTGTTGAGCGGGTTGCTTACGCGGTAAGCAGGAAACTAACGTGCTCGATGGGAGGGGTAATCTACCTCAGGCTTTACTCTTTACTACAGGCCTCACGTCCGCCAAGTGAGGCGACCGGGCTCGGGGCTGCGGCTCCCAACACCCCTGAGCCCACCAAGAATCTCCTCATTAGAGCAAAGAGTGCTACCACCCAGGACAAATCAAGGGGTCTGAGGCTCTGTCGGATGCGCCTGTCAGTCAGGAAGTTGCAAAGGCCTTGGGAGCTTTGTGTCAGGAGCTCCAGCCAGACCCCAACTGTTTGAATGAAAGTTTTCTGCGCTGCAGTCCCATCACCCAGGAAATTATAAGGGTTTAGGAGAAATGTGTCAGGAACGGGGGCAGAGACTGGTTATATGTTTTTTACTGTATCACATAATCACACCAGGGAGGAAAGCAGTGTCTCACACTCAGGTCTGTTCAGCCCACACATATTTAAGAAAAGAGTTTGATGTTTTTCTTTCTCTCTAATTATAGAAACAAAGTTTTGTTACTGTTTTGTGGTCTTCAACCGGTTTCTACAGTGTTTCGTCCCGTTTGGCACACTATACTTAGCCGAGGTGGCCTGAAGCATGCTGGGTAGCCCAGGCTGACCTCAGGGTGGCAGGGTGGCGATCCTCCTGCCTTAGCCTCCCCGTGCTGCCGTTGTGGAAATGCATTGCCACCCCTCCCGTGTGATTTTCATAAGTGGGATTTACTTTTATTTCCATAAATCACAAAAGTACAGATGTGAAACATTGGGACGGTCACCATCTCCTTTTGGAGATCTGATCAGCCCCAGTGCTGCTTCCCAGGGAGAAAGGAGTTGTCACTAAAAAAAAAAAAAAAAAAAATACAGGTAGCTGGCGTAGGAGCACACACCTGTAATCCCCATGCTCTGGGAGGCTGAAGCAGGAGGATCACCATGAATTTGAGGCCAGTTTGGGCTACATAGTGATTTTGAGGCCAGTCTGAACTGCATAGTGAGACCCTATCTCAGAAAAAAAAAGGAAAGAGAAAAGGCACTGGGAACTTATATTTCAGACCAAGTTTCCCTGTACCATTATCTTCATGGTCACAGAATTGGTTCCCTTAATCTGTTTTTTAGAGCATTGTGGCTCTCTTACTGTTATAAGAAATAATAGAATGATCTGGAGTGTGTATGTGTGTGTGTATGTGCACACGCATGCACGCACGTGTGCATCAGGTTCTACTCCACTCCTCACCCCACCACTACTTTCAGTGTGAATGAGCAGCTCCAGCCTGGGGTAAACATGGCAACGTCTCTGCATGAAGGACCCATGAACCAGCTGGGTCTGCTCATTCTGGCTGTGGAACCATCAGTGGATAGCAAGAACGCACACTGTACCAGTAAGACTTCTGACACTGCTGAAGCCTTGCTTCGTATGGGATCTCCTACTGCATGGGGGTCCAGAAATTCCTGTATTTATCCAGGACTTTCTATGTCTATGAGGACTATCTATGAGGACAGATTCATGGAGCTGTGTCAACTGAAGACTCTGAACCAGTGGATACCTCACCTATTCCTGTATCACCAGTGGCCATGAACTAGTGAAAGAAAAGTTGGTCATAATCCAAAGACCTGCAGTCACCAATTTCCCATGGCTCGTGAGCTAGGTATCAAGAAACCCACAGAAAGGAAAGGAAATACAACCCAGGTGTGGGAGTTTGCATTAGATCTAGTTCAAGACAAAAGTATTTATCTTTGGCATATTAAGTGAATTCAGAAAAGCACATATTCAAGTTTGTGGATGCAAAAACTGTCTGTAAGCTTTGCGGAAGAACAAACTGGATTTGAACTATGAGACTAAGTTTGAGATACTGCTACCAAAAGGGAATCTTGAAAAGATTGAAGGCAGAGGGGCCTCACAGAGATGCTCAGCTCATGGTGTAGGGCGCAGGAAGCAGAGAGTCAAGGAAAGAGCAGGGAAGAGAAAAACCCTTCCGGGCCATGCCCTGGGGACCCACCTCTTCCAACCAGACCCCACCTTCTAACAGCAAGTGGGCTTTTAGCCCCCGTAGCCCAGTCACCTTTCAGAAGCCACAACCATGAGCCCATGAGACTTTGGGGGTGTTTTAAATCTAACTATAACTAGCCTAACATCACAGCGAGGAAACTGACATTAGTACTGCAATGGCAAGCAGAAATTCCAAAAGGACACCCAGTGTTTGGGGGTAGATTTATTTAAATTGATGGGCACTCCCCAGATCCCTCCCCAAATACCAGACCCTGATCTCTGGTGGTCTAGAGCTTATATTGCATAAGCAAGCAGGAAGTACAGCAGAATGGCTTGTCAGTTGAAGATTAGTTTATACAATTAGCATCACAATGACCAGCTGTTTTAGACAGGAGCAACTGGAACTGGAACAGGAACTGTTATCTGGGCAACTAAGAAACTGAAGTATACTGGCTGGGAGAGTGGGGGATTTTCTGTTACACTACTATCCATCTACCCTATTGAGATTTCAGTTTTGTGTAGGTATGTGTGTATCTCTGTGTGTGTGTGTGTGTGTGTGTACACTTCTGTGCAACTTCACAATCAGGATACAGAACAAGGATCCATCATGCTACTCTTGCATACACAATTCCCTCCCATTCCACCTCCCTAAGACACTGGTGGCTACTAATCTGGTTTCCAAATCTAAGTTAGTGTCACTGCAAGAATGTTTCAAAACAGAGTCAGATAATGTAACCTTTGAGATTGGCTTTCTCTCTAGAGTTCCTCCCACGTTGTTGTGTCATTGGTTTGTACCTTTTTATTGCTGAGCACGTCCCTCTGTGTGTTTGCACCAACGTGCTTAATCATTCAATGCTGAAGGACATTAGCATTGTTTCCAGTTCTCAATTTGAAAATTATTTTGTTCATTTTTTCAGAAGCAAAAACGTTGGCTGTGGCTGTAGTTCCGCAGGAGAGTGTTTGCCGAGCCTGCACGAGGTCCTGGGTTCAGTCCTCCATACTGTAAAAACACATAAAAAATAAAATGTTTTCCCTGAAGTCAGTGGAACAACACATGAACATACAGTGAATAATCTTTTCCTGCCTTCCAGCAAGCAGTGTGAACAGCCTTGTGTTTACTTAGCCTCACACCCTTTCCTTTGCTACATACATACAAATACCAAAAGGAAGTTTATGTTTGTAAAAAGTATGTTTCACACTACAATTTGCTTTTCTCACTTGGAAACACATTTGCTGTCCCTCCAGCAGTAGGTGTCACCTAAAAGAGAAACTTTCCACTTTCAGCAGCACTTCTCTAAGGAAGTAGCAGAGATGGACCCTGGTGTGCTGGCCTGGATGAATGGGGTAATGGGACCCTCCTGGCGCCTCCCCGCTGAGCACAACTGTAGGCCATGGAGATGATGCAGGAGGCGAAGAACCAGAAGGTGGGAAAAGCAGTGAAATGGGGCCCTCAGGCTCCGGAAACAACAAAAAGGAGAGCATGTGACAGCTTCCCACTTAACCCAAAACCGGGACCTGCGCTCAGCTTCCCAGTGCCCACCTGACAGCGGGGGTGGGGGTGAGGAGGGTGACCCTGGTGCCTTCCTCCACTCTGTGAGGCTCCCTACTCCCCCTAAAAGACCTCTGCCCACCTGACAGCACCTTGAAGGGGACCCTGTAACAAGCACCTCTGGCCCCTGGGAAGTACTGCCCTTACCCATCGCACCTGAGACTGCGCCACCTGAGCCACCCAGCTGTTGGGAGCCACGTGCGGAACAGGAGTGCCCCGAGGGCACAGAGCACCTGGGAAGCGTCCTGAGGCCAGGGAGCCCTGGAGGAGAACAGCTGTTACACGGGGCAGTAGAGGCGAGCAAGTTAAGCCAAGGGCAGGGTGTGACAGGTGTATAAATAAACGCATTGCGGGGGTTGAGTGGCTCTTCCCACCCGGAGAAGGGCTGCGCCTGAGCCCAGTTCTCTGTCTCTGTCTTTATTTTCTTCATCCTCTCGTGTTCTTCCCCCCAGGGAGCTTAGAGAGCTCTCAAGGCCACTGATACCCAGCTGGCAAGGAACATGTAGCCCAGGCCATCTAGCCATCTTTGGCTTTGGGAGTTTATCCAGTCCGGAAATAGCCTTTGGCACCACAGGCAGCATCAGCAGGGACCTTGGGGTTATGGTGGTACCAGAAAAATTGAACAAACTCAAATAACACCACAGAAGCTCCCAAGATTAAAGTGTTATTGCCGCTGAAGCCTACAGATGTAGGCTAGGACCTGGTGCTATCCCTAAACAGGGCAACTTGCTTTAATAAGTAAATAACTTTAGTGGGACCCAGAGTCTCCTAACACATAGCATAACGTCCAGTATATCATAAAAAACTGAAGAGACGAAGAAAGCTCGTTCCATCTGCTGCTTCCCCTCCCCTTCTCCCTTCAAATCCAACTAGGTTAAGTTTTAACTTCCTAAAGGCCATAAAACAAAGGCCTGAGGTACTAGCTCCTGACATCCTGGGTCTTCCCTATCTGGTAGCCCCGTCACAAATTGTGTTAATTGCATCAGATTGTATTAGATTGTACATTCTTCACAGAAATAGCTTCGTTTATATCATAGTAATACCTGTAACTGTAAATGTGTGTCTTCCTTTTTCCCTGGGTAAAAGATTGATATGTTAATCAATGCTCTCTTCTGTAAAGAATTGTAAAATCTTACCCAATTGATATGTTAACCATTGTTGCCCTCTACAAATAGAAAGGTTGTGGTGCTAAAGTAAGGTAATTATGTCAGGAAACTCAGAGATAAAGTCTGCTGACTATGCTAATCAAGATTGGGAAGTATGTCAGAACCAAGCCACACAGGAGCTAGGTGACCTAAAAATAAGCTGTGCAAAACAAGACAGTTAATCAACTCTGACCCACTGGTCGCCCCTCATGATCTGACCAATCACAAATGGACAAATCACCAACTGTTCTGCTCTAACTGCTATGATTGGCTTCTGTAACAATGCTTGCTTGCTTTGCGGTTTTCATCCTTAAAAACACCAGCCTTGCCCCAACTCAGGGTTCTCCGTTTCCACCTGTTTGGAGGACCCCGTGTACACGGAATAATAAAAACCCCATTGTTTTTACATGAGAGCGAGGCCCTTGGAGTCTTCCTCGCGACACCGGTCTAACAAAACCACCAGTTACACCAAGAGCCAGGGCGCTCACATTTCAATGAGAAGAGACAACTGATGCCAGCTAGAATTATTTGATAGGGATTTTCACATCCGTTACAAAAATGCTTCAGTAGGCAACAGGGCATTCAAGCAAAAGAAAATAGAAAATCTTAACAAAAGATTGATGTTAATTTTGATTCCCAGTACCCCCCCCCAAAAATGGATCTTATTTAAAAATGGAAATGTAAAACCAAAAGTACAATAACAGAACTTAAAAGTGGAGAGTTGAGTGGAGATGACAAGTCAAGGACCCATGGGACAATGATACTAGATGCATTCGTGTCATCAGGGTTCCAGTGTCTTGGTTACTTTTACTTTTCTTGTTGCTAGGACAAAATACCTGACACCCAAAATGAAGGAAGGAAACCTTTATTTGTCTTACAATTTTTGGACGTTTCAGTTCATGATCAGCTGGCTCCAAGGCGGTGGCATGGCACTGGGGCAATACCTCAAGGCCATAGCCAGAGCAAAAGGGAGACAACACGCCTCTTCTCCTACCTTATATTGTACACAGGGCACCATCCCCTCCCCTTCAGGGCGGGTATAGGACTCACAAAATCTCCTTGCCCTCCTTTGCACAGGATGAAGGTATTTTCAAAGTCAGAACCCTGGCTGTGTGCTGAGTCTCTCAATTAAACTTCTAAACTTCTCAAGTTGACACAATATATCAACCATAACACCCAGAAAAGGGGATTTGAAAAAATATTGGCCAGGACCCTCTACTGAAATTTAATTTAAAAACCTATCAATTCAAAAAGCTGAGATCTATTTAAATCTTCTTTATGCAAATCAGATAAACACAAATCCATGTCAAGATACTTCATGAAACTCTCAAAAACTAGAACAACAGAAAAGTACCAGAGAGAAGCCAGACATTACCTACAGGGAGCACCTTGCAGCTGCCTGGGTTTCTCCTCTGTGGCCAAGAAGGCTCAAACAAAGCCACTGACATTTTTCAAGGGTTGGAAAAAAAAATAGCTGTAACCCAGAATTATGTGTCTGAAAAAATTATACAAGGATGAAGGGGAAATAAGACAGTCTAGGATTAATGAAACAAAAAGAATTTGTCATTAACAGACTTACTCCCAAAGAGTGGCTAAGGGAAGTCTTCAAACAAAAGGAAATGGTCAAGGCGGGACTCTTAAGAGAGTCAGGAAGGAAAAAAGAACCAGGGGAAGAGCAGACATGTTGGAGCATACCATAGATGATCTTTCTCATGAGTTTCATGAGTCATATTTGATGGCTAAACTTGTAACGTGGCCTGATACTCAGTGATATTTAAAAGGGTTAGGTAAGGTAAAGGAACTGACACAGGAGTAAAATCTCTGTACGTCACCCAGAGGTGAAAAGTGTTACACTCAAAACCACTATAAGTCATGGTGGATTTTTTTTTCCAACGTGAAGGACTGACCTGAGGCCCTGTCAGTGAACCACATCCCCAGCCCTTTTGCTATTTTTCATTATGAGAGAGTCTTGCTAAGTTGCCCATGAGACAGAGGCAAAGTGCCTGGCTCTTGTTTTTTCCTCTGCCAGCCAGAAGGGGTAGGCTGTGGCTGGCCAGCAGCTGCCTAACCCTCCCCCTGGCTTCCCTTTGCTCCTCCTCACACTCCAGTGGCCTGGGTCAGTTTGTTTCACTGTCCTGTCAAGCTGTTTACCTGTGTCCTCCCTGGCTGGCTATCAAACTGCCGTTCTCCATTCTAGGTGGGCACAGCCAAGCAGCATGGTGCCACTCTGCCCCGCTGGCCACATCAGAAGATACTGTTGCACTTTGAGATCAGAGAGCACCCTGATGGTGGCTAAGATCAGGAAGGGAAAAATCTGGGTCACTTACTTGCATACTCAATATTCACAGCAAGCCTTCCAGAAGATTGCCTGGTTTCAGTTCTCACCATCACTGAAACAGGACTGCAAGCCGCTATGTAAATACCACTTCCTGGGTACTTCGGGAGCTCTTTGTAGGTTCCCTGTGCTGTGGCACAAGTCCTGTTATAGTAAAGACTAGTTTTGATGTTTCTGTAGGCCTTCTCATGATGCTTTATGTCTTGGGCACTGGGGACTCCAGAGTTCCTGTAAATTAATTTGTTGTATTTTCTATCCTGAGAAGAATGGCCAGAGCCATCAGCTTCCAAAGAAAGATGAATGTACACCCAGAGCTGTTAACATCAAACAGCTCTGGAGACCAGCAGCCACGGCACAGAAGATGGAGGCCAAAACCCAGTGCTTGGTGGAGTCAGCCTGTTGTGTCGGTCACAGCTGGCATCTGATGGTGACGGCTGGCTATGGAAGATAGTAGCTGCAGGCATGTCAACTTTGCATCCAGTGTTACCTGGTGATATCAGGACGGCTAGCAGATCTGCACTTTGCTGACTTACAATTTGTTTGAATTGAACAAAAAAACTAGGCTGATTTGCAACACTCAGGCTGTGCACAAATTTGTGATCCTCCTACTTCAACATCCCAGAATACTCGGATTATAAAAGTTTGCCACTACACCTATACTATATCAGGCTGGGACTTTTATTTAATTAATTTTGTCTTTTAGAGACAAGATCTCACTATGCAGTTCAGGCTGACCTTGAGCTCAATTTGCAGCCCAGGCTGTTCTCAAAATGGCAAAGATCCTCCTGCCTCAGTCTCCCGAGTGCTGGCATTACAGGCATGCACCACCACACTCAGGTATTCTTTTCTTTTTTCTTTTTTTCTCTCTTTTTGGTACCAGGACTCAGGACTTGTGCTTGCCAGGCAGACACTTATTCCTCTGAGGTGTATCCACATGGTGGGATTCTAAAGAAAGTTCCAAGAAAATCAGAGGAACGAGAAACAGGAAACATAGAAAGCAAAGACTAAATGGCAGGTTCATAAGAGCCCTGAACTGGAGTTAACCCAGATGTCCTTCAAATTGTGGCACATCTGTCCTGTGGACTGCTGTTCAACAATAAAAGGAAGGGACACATCAACCCGAATGACACATGGGAATTAAGCTGTGCAGGAGAAGCCAACCCCCAAACGTTACCTTCCATGTGATTCTTATTACATAGCATTACAGAAATGATAAGACTCAAGGCTGGACACCAGTGTCTTGTCTGGGTGGGCACAGGTAGGAGGCAGGGAGATGTGGACATAGAAGGACCACACAAAGGTTGGTTTGTTTGTTTTCCCAGTTCTGGGGCTTAAACCAGAGCCTTCTCGCTGAGCTACATCCTCAGCCCTTTTGCTGCTTTTTATTTTGAGACATGGTCTTGCTAAATCACCAAGGCTGAGCCTGAAATTGTAACCCTTCTGCCTCAGCCTCCCAGAATGCTGGTATCACTCCATATCTTGATTGTGGTGGTGGCTACAGACCTATACGTGTGATAAGATTGCATAGAGTGGGTGCACACCCACAAGAGTGCAAAGGGGAACAGAGGAAACCTGTGTGAGACAAGTGAGTGTCAGCATCAGAGTGTGCTATTGCACTGTACTTTTGTAAGGTGACACTGCTGGAGGGAACTGGGTGAAAGGGTGCACTGGGGTCTTGTCTTTTTTTTTTTTTTTTTTTTTGTCTTTTTCGTTTTTGGTGGTACCAGGGATCGAACTCACGACTGCCTGCTTGCAAGGCAGGTGCCCATGCCTCTGAGCCAAATCCCCAGCCCTGGTCTTGTCTTTTTTTAATTTTGAGAGTCTTACTATGTAGTTGGGGCTGACCTTAAAATACATCCTATGGCCCAGGTTGGCCTTGAACATTGTGATCTTCCTGTCTCAGCCTCGTGAGTATTGGGATTATAGGCATGTGCCACCACATGGTTTGCCTTATTTCTACAATTCTTTCCAAATAAAAAGTTTAATTATTGAGAAAAGCTGTATACTGTGATCCACAGTCACTTCTGATAAACAGCAATGAGCTTTAACAAAGGGCCAAAAACATACATTGAGAAACCCAGAAAAAAGCAGCGGTAGCTATTCTGTTCACAGACAAAGTGAATTTCAAGTCAAGACAGATTAAAGAGAGATAAAGAAGATCACTACACCCTTGTAAAGGGAACAATCCAAGAAGAAGAGATAACAATCATAAATATATATGTAACAGTGTACCCAACTATGCATAACAGTGTACCCAACTATAGATAACAAATACTAATGGACATGAAAAATCAAATAAGCTGTATTGGTAGATCTAAATACCTCACTGTCATAAAAGACAGGTCAACTAGATGAAAAATCAATAATGAAGTATTAACCACATTTGAACTGGGCATGGGTGTATGCCTGTAATCCCAGCACTTTGGAAGGCTGAAGCAGGAGGATCATTGTAAGCTCAAGACCAGCCTGGGTTACAAAGTGAGCTCAAGGCCAGCCTCAATGGCATAGTGAGACCTTGTCTCAAAAAGACAAAAAAAAAAAAATCCTGAACCAAACTTTTGAACAAATGGACTCAGTAGATGTCTACAGAGTGTTCTACCCTATGACATCAGAACATGCATTCTTCTCAGCTGCACATGGGACATTCTCCAGAACAGACCACATACTGGCCCATAGAACATGCTTAAATAAATGCAAAGGAATTCAAATTATTCCATGCATACCATCAGACCACAGTGCAATGAAGTTAGAAATCCACGGCAAAAGAAAACACAAGAACTTCGTAAACACATGGAAGTTAAATAGCAGCCTCCTGAACAACCCATGGATCACAGATAAAATTAGAGAAGAAATTAGACAGTTTTTACAGTTGAATGATAATTACAATACAATATACTGGAACTTATGGGACACAATGAAAGCAGTCCTAAGAGGGAAATTTATAACAACATCCATATCAGGTACATACAAACAGCTTAATGGTGAACCTCAAGAAAATAGTGAACCTCTAGAAAAAGAACAGGCCAAGACAAAAGCTAATATAAGAGATAAAATTATAATATCAGAGCAAAAATGA